ACACTCAAAGAAGCCTTTGCATGATTAAAGTGTTCTTTTCATGGTGAAATGGTTCTTAAGACTGATTAGAATTTGCTGTAGATGGTTTTATATACAACCTTTTTGAAAATCTATATAGCGCCAAAATTGTTCTATACAGCACCAAAAAGGGTTCTTCTATTGTAAACGAACTTGACATAGAATAACGCTTTTTGGTGATATACAAAACCACTTTCAAAAAGGTTCTGTATAGAACCCTATACAACACATTCTCCATCAATCTGAAGAACACTTTAACGATGGAAATAACCGTTTAATCGTGCAAAGGGTTCCTTAAGTGTTAATGGCTCTATATAGAACCATTTCCTTTACTAAAGAACCCTTGAAGAATCATCTTTTTTCAGCGTGTATATATATATATATATAAATCTCACGTTTCACGTCTCACGTCAGTGTTGCTTGAAAGGGGACCTCCACCCAAAAATGTCCAGGCAAGAGTGGATCTGTGGTGAGAAACTGACCGTTGATGAAGGACTAGAGGATCAAACTGTGGAGCTACAAGAGCAGGGTTTCTGATAAAGTGGCCAGTGAGGGTATAACAGCCCAGCGTTTTGTTTAAATTCAATATTTTGTCTATTTACACTATTTTGTCTGCCTTAAACATCAAACAGCTTTAAATTTCCATTCATTTCCATTATGACTGTATATGCATGTTTAACATGCGCCTCTCAGCCAAAAGACCCCCACACCCTTCTCCCTCTCTCTCCTCACACAGCTGCTCCCTCTCCCTTTCTCTTCAAAGCCCCTTCCTCCAGAACAGAAGCCCACCCATCCCCCATGTACCCCCCCCAGTTCTCCTCCTCACACACTCGAGCTGTGAAATCCGGCCAGTGTTTGAGGCGGTGGGTTTGTGGGGGGAGGGAGGGGGCTGGGGGGGTCTGACGATGATGGAGAAAACAGAGATGTTAAAGCGATAGTTTGGCAAATGTACACTCTTAAAAAAGATGGTTCTTCAATGGTTCTTTAGTAAAGAAAATGGTTCTACGTAGAACCATGATCACTCAAAGAACTCAAAGCGTTCTTTGCATCTTCTGTTGTTAAGATGTCTGGCTTGTAACAACAGAAGAACCCATTTTTGGTGCTACATAGAACCCTTTTCAAAACGGTTCTAGGTAGAACCATCTAAAGCACGATCTCCATCCAAACTGAAGAACTTTTTTATGATGCAAAGGGTTTTTTAAGTGTTCAAAGGTTCTTTATGGAACCATTTTCTTTACTAAAGAACCCTTGAAGAAAATGTCAGGCTTGTAACAATAGAAGAACCCTTTTTGGTGCTATATAGAACCCTTTTCAAAAAGGTTCTAGGTAGAACCATCTACAGCACGTTCTCTATTGATCTGAAGAGTGCTTTCACAATGCAAAGGGTTTTTTGAGTGTTCAAGGTTCTTTATGGAACCATTTTCTTTACTAAAGAACCCTTGAAGAAAAATGTTCGGCTTGTAACAACAGAAGAACCCTTTTTGGTTCTATATAGAACCCTTTTCAAAAAGGTTCTAGGTAGAATCATCTAAAGCACGTTCTCCATCTATCTGAAGAACGTTTTTACGATGCAAAGGGTTTTTTAAGTGATCATGGTTCTTTATAGAACCATTTTCTTTACTGAAGAACCCTTGAAGAAAATTTCAGGCTTGTAACAACAGAAGAACCCTTTTTGGTGTTATATAGAACCCTTTTCAAAAAGGTTCTATGTAGAACCATCTAAACATGTTCTTCATAGACTTGAAGAACGCTTTAATGACGCAAAGGGCTCTTTGAGTGTTCAAAGTTCTTTATAGAACCATTTTCTTTACTAAAGAATCTGTGAAAAAAACATTTTCTAAGTGTGAATTAATCAGTCAGAACGTATTTGTAGTTTGAAGTCTTTAGTTTTAGCACTGAAGCTAAGAGGCTAATGATAAATAGAGCTGATAAACAAGCTGATTTACTCAATACAGACAAACAGAGAAAAAATAGATACATGTTTTTACTGTAAATATACATTACTGTGCTAAAAGCCTGATAAAATAACCTGTAAAGCTGTTTATCTGGGCAGTAAACACTTATTTGTTCAAAAAAAGACTGTAATAAATACAAACAAACTAGTAAACAGTCCATTGTGGCTTTTCTGTGTGTGTGTTAGCTTAAAGGAGCACTTCAGCAAAACAATTTGCAACTTTTGCTTCTTTAGTTTAACATTGGAGCGGCAGGGCTAACACTGCTAAAAAACACTAGAACTCAATAGTCACCTAAATAGCCCAGATTGTTTCTGTACAAATACATTCCTAAAATTCTCAAACCGCATCTTTGTTAAGGTGGTACAGACCTGTAGATGTGACTGACTGTGAGTCATACTGTACTCCAGATCACGTCTACAAGTCTGCTCTACCTTAAACAAGACCTGGATGAGGTTTGAATGAAGTTTTGGGGTATTTTTACAGAAACATTTGGAAATTTGGGTGACTATTGAGTTCTAGTGATTGGTAGCAACGTTAGCCTTGTAGCTCTATTTCTAAACTAAAGAAGCAGAATTTGGACTCCAATCATGTCTTGGATGATCGACTACGTTATGTTGAACATCAAGTGAATAAATACAAGATATTCAGCATTTACAGTTACATAACCAGTCCTGCTTTAAATCACATCAGGTGCTGCTGATGGAACTGAATATATCTGTGTTCTTCCAACATACACATTCATAACTACCTAAAACAGTCTGGCTACTGTATTTATGATTATTTATATTTAATCTAATGTTTTTACTGGCAAAAACACCCCCAGATAAACTGCTTTTAAACAGCTGCTTAAGACTTCAGGACAGCACTGTAAATTGTTATTGTTTTTACTGGTTTTATAATCCCAGGTTATATTAATCCCATGCTATAAAGCATACTGTAGAAATAATTTCACGTTTTATTAATCCCATGCTATGAAGCAAAATGTAGAAATGATGCCAGGTTATATTAATCCTGTGCTATAAAGCAAACTGAAAAAATAATTTTAGATTATATTAACCCCGTGCTATATAAAGCAAACTGAAGAAATAATTTCAGATTATATTAATCCCGTGCTATAAAGCAAACTGAAAAAATAATTTTAGATTACATTAACCCCGTGCTATATAAAGCAAACTGAAGAAATAATTTGATTATATTAATCCTGTGCTATAAAGCAAACTGAAGAAATAATCTCAGGTTATATTAATCCTGTGCTATAAAGCAAACTGTAGAAATAATCTCAGATTATATTAATCCTGTGCTATAAAGCAAACTGAAAATCTCAGATTATATTAATCCTGTGCTATAAAGCAAACTGTAGAAATAATCTCAGGTTATATAATCCCATATGATAAAACATGATGTCTGTCAAAAACATTACAGATGTCCTGTGGTAGTAATACATCAATTCACATATAACACTAATCCCGTCCCAGTAGTGCTTCAGAGAGTAACTCAGAAGTAATGAGTGGTGAGATGACCTTTTCACAGGAAGTAATCTGTAATCCTGTTACAGTGTGAGAGACGTAATGAGTCATTTATAATAGATTGCTTTTTTCTTAGTAACTGCTGGTGAAGACCAGCTCAGGAGAGTGATCAAAAAAAGGGGAATTCCATCCATTTTTCAAATTCCCCCATAATTCAGTGTGTGAGATGTAAACAGAGTGATTCAGAGTGGTTTGGTGTGAAATGGTTCAGATGTCAGATAGACATTTTATTTACTATCCAGAACCACCAGTGAACCTACACGAGTCTTCTGAGTTTATATGGAATGTTGATGATGGAAAATAGTGGAAAATCTCAAATAATAAGTTTTCTTTGGGGACTATTTTGACCAAAATCATCTCAAAACTATCATTCATAACCATTTTAGCTGATCATTAGATTTGGAGTAAGAGAGGATAAACTGGGGGATTAGATTTGCACCAAATTATTTCTTTAGCCCAGGACAACATGCAGCTCTGGACCTGTCCTGTTGTGGCTCCACAGCTGAATCAGATTTGTAGGTAATAATAAAATAATCCTCCTTTACAGTAAAATAAAGCTCTGCTGATCGTTCAACACAGTTTAACAATAAATGGTCTTAAACTCTGGAGTTAATGTAGAACTGCTAATTCACCCTTTAACCCTGAAGATCAGCGCAGACTGCTGGTCACCATAGCAACACAGACAACAATCTCGCCTAGCTAGTAGCTAACGAAATGGCAAAGAGAGAGATTTAAGACGAACATCGATAATTTGGAGATAAACTGACTTATTTGTGTTTATAATCACTCCAGCTGGTTTCCTGATACGTTTAATCTGCAACCAGAAACTGTCAAACACTAAAAAGTCGCGAAGCTGAAGTTTCTCATTGGCCAGCTTCTTGTTCGAATTTTCCCGTTCCACCTTAAATGGTGCGGCAGTTACATTCTGGCGCCTTAGGCACCATTTAAGGTGGAACGGGAAAATTCGAACAGGAAGCTGCTGAATGAGAAGCAACTTTAGCCTCGTAAAAAGTCGAACATTGAGAGACATTTTACAAGAAACTGTTCTACTTTTGTGGAAAAGTTTCCTGCTGGAGATGCGAGAAAAGCAGCTATAGCTGAGCTAAAGCTTAAGGCAGAGCAAAGCAAGTCTGTGTTTTTGTTTATATTATATATTTTTAGCCTATACCAGTAAATTAGCACATACTGAGACATATTTACAGCCAATATGGTAAAATGGGCATAAAATGTTGTGATTTGGTTTTGTTAAAAAGATAAAATGGCTCTTCTTAACATTTGGGTTGCGACCCCTGCTTTAGCCGCTCCACAGGCTTCTGCATGCATGCTGCTTCTCTGCCTTGTGGAAAACCTACACCCAGCCTCGCTAAACAAATTTACCAAGTCAGTGACACTCAGGTCAGCAGCGCAGAGGTCACCTACCTGTCAGACACGATCTACCTGAAAAAAAACACACAAACCCAAAAGCCCAAAAACAAACACAGCACCTTCACCACATCAGCCGCCAGGTTTCTGCCGTACATTTATTTGAAATACTTTTTTAAATATTACACAAGTTAACAAAAGACCGTTTCAGTCTCAGGCACTCGTTCCGGGTAAGAATGAAAGGTGTGAAAATGAAAGCACCAAGGTTTTAAAGGTATAAGAGTCTTGTTTTGTTTTGTTTTGTCTTTTTTTTTCTAATCCATCACGTTAAAAACGAACATTCCTCCTCACTGATTCGGCGCAGTTGAAAATCTTCATTCGGATACGGAAAGGATATGTGAAACCTAAATTAGATTATACGCTATTAAATGCTAATCCAATAACCCAGTTTTTTTTTTCATATTTATCAGAATCACACGCAAAAAAACACAAGACTATTCATTCCAATCATGTTTTTGTTTTTTTTTGTTGTTGTTGTTTTTTTTGTTTCTTTAATGTCCAGAGTTTTGATCTGTGGTCCAGTTTGTTTTCTGTTTATGCCTAACTATCGTTCACATTCATTCTGGTTTATATATTCACCAGCCGGCCTTCGCCGAACACGGCAGGGTACAAAGGCTTCCAGCGCTGTTCACTCTCACTCTCTCTCTATCATTCTCTCTCTCTTTGACTTTTCCTGGTTCTCTGTAATTCTCCCTCACTCTCTCACTCTCTCTCTCTTTTTGTCTCTCTTTTAGCTCTTGAGTGGTTGCATTTCTTTTTTTGGGTTGACCAGAAATTCCTTTTTTTTTTGCCTGAAAATACCACGACAGGCATTCTTGACGTCTATTTTCAGAAAGCCTGTGTTCTTTCTTGGACTTTTTTCAATTGCATCAGAATGGAATTCACATTTCAAGGGTTTTTCAGACCGTATCGATGGCCTGGCTGACCACCACATCTCCAGCAGGGTCAGCAGCAAGGCTTAAATCCTTTTTCAGTTCACAGTCAGTGTGTTCTTGCGCAGCTTTTTCTGCCACGACTCCATTGACACACTCCTCAGCATCTCCGTTGGCATCTCCGTTGGCCTTCTCCTTACAATCCCCATTCACTTTAGGTGCGGTTCCGGAAGGTTCTTCCTCAACTCCAGCGCTGTCGCAGTTGCCATTGTCCAGCTTCTCCTCCGTACCACTAGGGGCAGCGCTGGGCTCCTCAGCTGAAAGCTCATTGGCTGAAGCTGACTCAGAAATCACAATTTCAGGAATGGGTTCTTCACTCTCTGGCTGGGCCACAGGCTCTGGTTCTGAAGGTTTCAGAGCAGCAACGGGTTCAGGTTCAGGTTCAGGTTCTGGGGCTGCAGCACTGGGCTCGGATTCTTGAGAAGGTTCTGGAAGCTCTGGCTCTGGCACCTCTGTGTTTTCTGCATTTTCAGCTGATACTTGTTGAACCTCCATGGTGCTTAAAACCTCCTGGACGGCTTCCTCCACTACCTGTGCTGCTGCGAGCTCTTCTGGTGTAGCTGCAGGTTCTTCTGGTGCAGCTACAGTTTCTTCTGGTGCAGCTACAGGCTCCTCTGGTGTAGCTACAGGTTCTTCTGGTGCAGCTACAGGCTCCTCTGGTGCAGCTACAGGTTCGTCTGGTGCAGCTACGGGCTCCTCTGGTGTAGCTGCAGGTTCTTCTGGTGCAGCTACAGGTTCTTCTGATGCAGCTATGGGCTCCTCTGGTGCAGCTACAGGTTCTTCTGGTGCAGCTACAGGCTCTTCTGGTGCAGCTACAGGTTCTTCAGATGCAGCTTCAGGTTCTTCTGGTGCAGCTACAGGCTCTACTGGCTTAGGTTCTGGTTCCTCAGCTGCAGCTGTTGGTTCTTGTGGTGGGGCAGCTACAGACTCTACTGGGGCCACAACAGGCTCCTCAGTGGCAGCTACAGACTTTACTGGGGTAGGTTCTGGTTCTGCAGCAGCTGGTTCTTGTGGTAGAACTTCAGGCTCCGATGGTGAAGCTACCGGTTCCTCTGGGACGGGAACTGATTCCACTTGTGTAATTGTAGCCTCCACCGGGACAACTGGAGGATCCTCTGGGGCAGCAGCAGCCTCTACTGGTGTAGTTTCAGGCTCGGCTGGGGCAGATACAGTCTCTGCTGGGGCAGCAACAGCTTCCACTGTTGTAGCTACAGCCACTTCCACTGGTGCAGCCTCCTTTGGGGCAGGTGCAGGTTCCTCTTTGGCAGCTGTAGGCTCTTCTGGGGCAGGTGCAGGCTCCTTTGGGGCAGGAGCATCCTCTACAGGTGCAGAAACAGCTTCCACAGTGGGAACCGCAGCAGCCGCCACTGGGGCAGTTGATGGTTCCTCCGCTGGTTTCTTTGGGACCTGTTCCACTGGGGCAGATTTAGCCTCTACAGGGGCAGGAGCAGCTTCCACAGGGGCAGCTGGAGGTTCCGCTGAGTCCACCGGTGGCTCCTTTTTGGGAGCTGCAGCCTCCACTGGAGCAGATGAAGGTTCTACTGGGGCTGGAGGCTTCTCTGGTGCAGCCTCTGGTTCCTTTGGGGCCGCTGCAGCCTCCACCGGAGCAGCTGATGGTTGCTCTGGTGCAGCTGCAGCTTCCTTGGTTGCTGCAGGCTCTTCCTTCACCTCTTCCTTTACGTCTGTAGGTGCAGCAGCTGGCTCAGCTGGAGCAGCAGCTTGTTCTGGCACCTTGGTGGCCTCAGTGGCTGGAGCTTCATCCTTCTGCTCTGAGGCTGATGTTGCCACCACTGCACTCTCCTCCTTTTTATCCTTGGGATCACTGACGTCATATCCCTTCTTCTTCTTGCTCAGCTTGCCTCCCATGATGTGTCCTGGAGAAATGACAGAAAATATAGTTTAAGCTATAAAAATGAGCATTTTGGTCTTTGTTAAAGTGGTAAAACTCAAATGTACCCCAAGTGTAGTCAATCAGCCAAGATGTGCTGTCTGAAGTTTGCTTTTTCAGTGTTAGCACTGGAGCTACGAGGCTAACGTAGCTAAAACGTAATGGAAGCTTATACCCCGGGATTTAGCGTGATTAGCACTGGAGCTGAGAGGCTAATGTAGCTAACACATGATGGAAGCTTATATCCCGGCAATTAGCGTGATTAGCACTGGAGCTACAAGGCTAATGTAGCTAACACACAATGGAAGCTTATACCCCGGGATTTAGCGTGATGAGCACTGGAGCTAAGGGGCTAATGTAGCTAACACACAATGGAAGCTTATATCCCAGGATTTAGCGTGATTAGCACTGGAGCTAAGGGGCTAATGTAGCTAACACACAATGGAAGCTTATACCCCGGTAATGGAAGCTTATATCCCACCAATTAACTTGATTAGCACTGGAGCTACACAGCTAATAAAGCTAACACACAATGAAAGCTTATACCCCGGTAATGGAAGCTTAAATCCCACCAATTAACATGATTAGCACTGGAGCTACGTGGCTAATGAAGCTAACACACAATGGAAGCTTATACCCTGGGATTTAGCGTGATTAGCACTGGAGCTAAGGGGCTAATGTAGCTAACACACAATGGAAGCTTATATCCCGGGATTTGGCGTGATTAGCACTGGTGCTACAAGGTTTATGTAGCTAATATGTAATGGAAGCTTATACCACAGCAAGTAGCGTGGTGCTAACTGCATGCCTAAACCACGTGGCTCAGTAATCTCAAACAGAGTTGCTTATTTAGCACAGTGCTAAGTGGTGGTCATACGCTTGCACTGCCACATTAGCCTCACAGCTACAAAACTAAAGAAGCAAACTTCAGACACCAAACATGTCCTGACTGATGGGCTACGTTTGCGGTAAAAGGTTAATCTACACATTTGCCAAACTATCGCTTTAATATCCACTGGGCAAATTTGATTTTTGGCCAAACTACCACTTTAATTAACCATAAAGTGGATGGGAATGATAAAAGTTGTGAACGCCTGCCAACGTCTCTGTCCTTCTTTAAGGGCACTCAGTCAATGTTACCTAAAACAAACTGCGCCAAGGACAGAGACCGAGCGCGGTCCGAGCCCTGTGGAAGAGGGGGACGGACGAAAGACAAATGGCTAAACCTCTACTGGCGGGCCTTCACATGGTTCTTGTAAACTCCAAACTAGGCTCTTGTGTGTGTGACTGTGGAATGTGGAGTAAGCGGTCTGCCAAGAGAGCGCCCATTCTTCACTTTGAGCCGCTTCGGCTTTTGAGGACGGCACTCGCAGCAACTCTCTCACGAGAAGCGCGGAGAAACCGAGGCGGGCTACTTAAAGAAGAGAGAAAAAAGGAAAAAATAACCTCTGTGTCCTGGGAAAGCAAGACTCAACTCACTGCCAAGACTGAATTTAGTCAGTCAGCATGCATGAAAATGACCAGCTTACACAGACGGGCCAAATTTCTAGCCTGTTTGCTCACTGTTTCACCCTTACACCATTTTTTTTTCAAAACGTGCGTAATCATGGATATGACTATGAGTGAGATGATATTTTTTTTTGTAAAAATTAATGAAACTTAAATCAGTGTAAATAAATTAACACATCCTCTACAGAGAACCCACTTTAATATGACAGATTACAAATTTTGTGCTCAATCTTAACATACAGGAGGAGAAAAAAAGTACCTAAAATGTGTCATAACTGATATAACCCTACATAAATGTTTATAAACGCTTATTTCAATAGGTATTATTCACTATAAATGTTACATTTGCCAACTTAGATCAAAGTAGCCTTTATGACAGATGACACCTATTGGAATAAGCATTAATAAACATTAATGTACAGTTATGTCAGTCACATGTATGTAGGTGTCATGTCTATTTAGTAAATAAAGAGTAATTGTGCATAAAAATGTGGGTTTTGTCTTGTTTTATCAGTTTTGCTGAGCTGCTCCTCACCTGCTCGGCAAAACTGATAAAACAAACAAAACGATCAATAAATAATCAATACTGTTGTTATTTAACATCATAGACGCTTCACAGTTCCATATTCAATATGTCTGAGAAAGTTCCCATTTTCAACAGAGGGGGCGCCAAAACCCCAATCACTAAGCATTCAAAAACGATGTATGTTATTATTCATTATTCCGTGTAAAACTTATTTAAACGTGCTTAAAGTCTTTAGTCATAAGCTGGCTGTAAAAGTCAGGGCACCCCTGATCAGGTTCCACGTAAATAAGTCACGTCCTCTACAGAGACACACCTCTGCACGTTTTTATGCACAATTACTCCTTATTTACTGAATTGAACACATTGGGGTAACATAAAATGTGGCCTTTGCAAAAGTTATGACACATTTTAAGTACTTTTGGTAACACTTTACTGTAGGGTACAGTTCATAAGGCTACATGACACCTACATACGCTTGTCATGAAACTGTACATTAATGTTTAATAATGCTTATTCCAATAGGTGTCATCTGTCATAAAGGCTACTTCGATCAAAACTGGCAAATGTAACATTTATAGAGAATAATGCCTATCGAAATAAGCGTTTATAAACATTTATGTAGGGTTATATCAGTTATCATGACAAGCTTATGTAGGTGCCATGTAGCCTTATGAATTGTACCCAATAGGAAAGTGTAACCGTACTTTTTTCTCCCCGCTGTGTGTTAAAATCGTGCACAAAATTTGTAATCTGGCACATTAAAGTGGGTTCTCTGTAGAGGATGTGTTAAATTATTTACACTGATTTAAGTTTCATTATATTTTTACAAACTAATCTCACTCAGTCATATCCATGATTACGCATGGTTTTTAAAAAAAAACAGAATAAGAATTGCATCCATGTTGGTTTTGGTTATGCAAATAAATAAATAAATAAATAAATTCATTCATTCTACTATTTATCCAATAATTTTTGATGCTATATTATTGCTTGCATTTTTAATATATTGTTGCCAGAACAAAATATTATATGTATATTTTTGTCATTTTTACTTTTTTTAACATAATTTGTAAAAACACCTGTTCTTTCTCCTGTAAAATTCTTTCCTGTGTAAAGTTTTGACCATTTTTGACCATCAAAACCATTTTGATACGTTTTGTTTGCCAGTGTTGATATGCAGTATTTTCTTCTATCTTCTATTATTTCATTTGTGTATGTTACTTTATTACTTGTGTTGTAAAGTGTCTTTGAAAGGCACGCTATAAATAAAACTCATATGTGTTATTATTATTATTATTATTATTATTATTATTATTTCATAAACAAAGAGACCTTTAACCCAGTTATTTCATGGCTGTTAATGATAATCAGCGATAATCTGATGAGGGTCTCAGTGTCAGTGCTGATCAGCTCACAGTACACTGTGAACGAGCTCAGTGCAGCGGCTCTGCATTAGCGAGAGGCTGTTAGGACCATGTGAGGTTTGCTCGTGGCTTGGTTCAGTGCAGCGAGGAGATAAGGGTGGAGAGAACGTCTGATTAGATAAAACACAAGGGTAAACACTGAACTGCACACTTTCATCACACAAACACACAAAAAAAACAGGATGCATTCACCGGAGCAGCCTGCGGACATTTTTATAAGGTCAAAAGTTTAACTTCGTTTAAAAAACTGAAGCTAATTGATGTTCAGTGGACGTCTGGACATCATTTCTCCTTTTTTTTACAGCTTAGAAAAGGAGAAGACCAGGTTTCGACATACTGTCGGTTCCTCTTTATCAAATAAAATTCCTAAAAAATGAGCTTACTCATGACATTTGAAGAAGCCACTTCGTTTAATTGTACTCTCTTAAAAAAGAAGGTTCTTTAGTAAAGGAAATGGTTCTAATACAGAACCACGAACACTCAAAGAACCATTTGCATGATTAAATGCATGGTGAAATGTTCAGTGTTGCTAATGGTTCTATATAGCACCAAAAGGGTTCCGCTATAGTTAAATCTTGACATCGTAACAACAGCAGAGCCCTTTTTGGTACTACACAGAACCATTTTCAAAAAGGTTCTATACAGAACCATACACAACACACCCTTCATCAAACTGGAGACCGATTTCACCAGGCAAAGAACCATTTAAGCATGCATAGGGCTCTTTGAGCGTTCATGGTTTTGTATAGAACCCTAGAAGAACCATCTTTTTAAGAGTGAAATATGGTCATTTTTAAAAAATAATGTGGAACTGAAAGACTGTATAGCCTAAACACATTAATAATCATATTTAGATTATATGCCTGATGACAGTTGCATGTGCTGCAGCTAGGGGGGGGGGTAAATGCAATAGGCAATTGGAGCTGCACCAGAGGGGTAATTATAAGTGGGGTAATTACAGTAGGAGCTGTCCATAGTGCTGCACTGGGGCAACTAAGGCCGGATACATCGTCATGCACCAAGCCAATGCACCAATCAATCCCAATGCACACATCTGCAGCACACGCTAGCTTTCACTATAGCCGCCTGTAGGCACTTATCTGTCCATGCATCACTCTCTGTGCACTACAGTAGCACTACACACACAAAACAAGCTTTAATACAGGTAGAACAGTCTACAAATAGCATGCAACAGTGACTGGAATGAGGATAAAGATAAGCAAACCCTTTAAACTGATGACACTAGCAGTTTGACTGGCTAGCACATGGGATCCACGCTACTGCTGGAGCACAAAATGTTCATGCAAATTGTGACTTGAGTGTCTAAAAAGCATCTGGTTGAAGCAAAATGAAGTTGCAACGCTTCCATGTGAATAAAAGAATTAAACGGACTGCTTTAATATGATTATTACTGTTGATTTGGTGGATGTTGCCTATAACTGAATTGGTGGTATATTTTAACATGGTGGACATTTGAGTTGTGAATGTAAAGCAGCATTTTCAGTGTGTGGGTCTTACATTGGAAAAGCTAATGATGTTAATTAGATTGAGGCCTACATTACATCAACTTCCAGCTCTAGCTGAGCTGCTGTACTATAGATTATGTTGCACTCGTCCACATCAACTGCATTCATTTGCTTTTCATGCCTCAGCCTAAAGCAGGAAAAACCCCACACTGCCATGCTAAACCGCAGCAAAGGGCAATTCAAGGGTGGTAAGAAATGCACTGGAAAAGCCAGATGCCCCTCTGACTGTACCCCCTCCTCCTCCTTTTCCTCCTTTGTTCCCTCTCTCCCCCCCTGCAGCTCTTCATGGCCCCACGCGACAGATGGGGAAATTGAAAACTGGTGTTTAATCTGAAATACAGATTCAGCTTTGGGTAAAAGTACCAGCCATAAGGGACCTACCTACCTGTGGGGCTGAAAGCCCAGCCCGAGCAGCACAAAGCAGCCAAGTCAGCAAAAATGTTATTAACATTAAAGCTGAACTACTTTTTTTTTGCATCACAATGCATTTAACCACCTTTCCTATACATTACATCACATTAAAACCCACCACTTTTCCTTTTTGTCCGCATTCAGCGCATTTAAATAAGCCTTTCACTACTTCAGGGTCTCCTGTGGCTCTTTCAGCCACATGCCTTAATAGCGACTCACACAAAGAAAGATATAAAACACCACGTTTTTCTATCCGCGGCCTAAATTCGGGATTTAAGCGCGCGTTCAGTTAGAGATAAAGCAAATCTCGAGGTTGCAAAAATGAAGAGTGGAGAACAAAGAGCGGACTGAGCATCCACCCCAAAATCCGCTCTCCGCCGTCTGCTCTGCCTTTTAACGCCGGTGCACCAAATTAGTCCACCAACTAGTGCCGTTCAGAACGCCGGCACGTGCGCAGCGCGAGAGAGAAGTGCGTGAAAATGCGCAAAAGAGCGGAGTTTGTACAGACCTGCTGCGGATGGAGAGCCCGGAGAGAAAAAGAGAAGAAGCCTGATAATGTGCGGGTGATGTGGATCCAGCTGCTCCTCTCTGCTGCTCCTTTCAGTGTCTCTGTCTCTCCCTGTCTCTCTGTCTCTCTCTCTCTCTCTCTCTTTCTGCTCCTCCTCTTGTTAACAGCAGCTCCGTTTGTGGCCATGTGGCTCTACTGCCCCCCCCCTCCTCCTCCTCCTCCTCCTCCTCCTCTTCTCCCCTTTCTGCCCCTTCTCCCCCAAACCACACCCACTCACCCCCGCCCCCCATCTCTTACCCCCTCCCTCCCCCCTTCCCAAGGCCACATACTTCTCTAGATTACATGCCGTTTGTTCCTTTCAGCCCCTCTTTTCTCTCTCACCTCTCACCCTTTACACGCAACTCACTGCAACAGCTTTCATTTTCAGGTTTAACATTAGTATTCTGGGAATTTCCCACTCGTGCTTTTCGTTTTTCAGCACTCTGTCCCTTCACAGAGCAATGAAAACACAAATATGCCCAGCCGTAGCTGTCAGAACCCATTTAAAAATAATAATATAATAATATAAAGTATTAAAATAATATGATACCTATTAAATAATAATAATAATAGTAACAGTAATCAGCTTTGTTTATGTGGCACTTTTCATTTTAGCCAGAGCTCTTTACACATTAATATAGGTAAAACATTGGAAGGACAAAATACCATGTTGTTAATGAAGTAATAGCATAATTACATAATTAGTATGGAAGAAATGAGCCTGAATACAATAAAAAATCTTATAGTACATTCAAACAATTACTAAGGTTTACTACAGCATACTACACAAGTATTACACCCCAGGTCAAAGGACATGTAAGGACAACAATAATAATAATAATAATCACCTTTTTAAATAGCGTTTATATTTCAGCTACAACATCTCAGAGTGCTTTACATGTTAATATAAACCACTGGAAGGAAAAAAATACCATGTTTTAAATGAAGCAATAGCATAAATATAGCCTAAATATAATAAAAAATTCAGAAATTCAATTAATTACTACAGGAAACTACACAAATATTATCTCCTAAGTGAAAATAAGTTAACATGTCCTCTTAAATGTGGCATTTTTCTTCATTTTCTACATATTTGCTGAGTTTAACATGGGAAAAAAAGAAAACATAAAACATCAAATGTGCCACATTCAGCAGGTAAGCAGTGATTGTGGATTAAAATGTGCGGAAGTGTGTCTCTGTGAAGGATTTGGTAACTTATTTACACTTAAAAACCAACAACAACATCATGGAATTTGACCAGGAGGGCAAACACTTGGGCTTATGATTGTGGATTACTGTAAAACAGCTCTACAGGAACTACAGGCACTACATTATATAGTTTAATGCAGTGTTACTGGTCGTTTATTAGTGTTGACTTATTTAACAAATGTGCATGAAAGTAGCACAAATCTGGAAAAGAAACAAGTGTAAAGTGGATTCATCACTTATGTAAAAACAGAAAGAAATGTTTGCCTAAAGTACCACTTAATGTTGGAATATGACACAAAATATTGGATCCGTATCTCACACTTATTAAAAAACCCATTCCTGTCTCTTTATTTTCCATACTGGGTCTTTCACATGACCGGTTCCACGCATGACTGTACTCAGAAAGAGATTTAATAAAGATAAAACGCCACTTTCTGCGAATGGTTAGCATAGTTAGCATATTTCAGTCGCGGTGTTCATAGCCAGTGTGTTCCGGCTAAGTCAGCCTCTGTGTGTCCTGCAGTGCAGGTTCTAATTCCACACATACAGAGAACGAAGGGAAGAAGCCAGAAGAGGCGAGAGGTCGTCCTTAATATCGCCCCCCGCTTTACGCGGCCCGGCGCTTGGCACCCGCGTGTGATTTGTCTGCCTGGTGCTAATGGGACGACCGAGATTCTGCTTAGCCTGTTAGCGCCTGCTGGAGCTAATATGTGGAGCTGCTTTGATCCCAAACACATATTTGTCATATTTTCTGGCTGTTTTGTCGTGGAAAATGAAAAACTAGTGAGGTTTTTATTCAGTAAACATTGTGGATGTGGAATCTGAACATTTCCTGGTAGCTTCTGCTAGTTTTTCCTAACACTACACGCTTCAAAAAGATGGTTCTTCTGGGGCAAAGTAGCAGGAATGGTTCTGTTTAGCACCATGAGCTCTAAACAGAACTATTTCATGCTTGCATGGTGAAATGGTTCATCAGATTGATGGAGAATGTGTCGCATATGTTTCTTTATAGGGTTCTGATATCGTTACAATGTCAAGCTTACAATAGAAGAAGAACCCTTTTTCAAAAAGGTTCTGTGTAGAACCATATACACCACATTCTCCATCAATCTGAGGGACCATTTCACCGTGCAGAGAACCATTTAATCACAAGATGGTTCTATAGAGTTCTACATATAACTACTGCCCTAACTAGAGAACCCTTGGAGAACCATCTTTTTTAAGTGTTTATGATGTTTAGGGTGAAGAAACCGTTCAGCCTGTGTGGTTTAGGTGGCAATTCACCAAACGCTAACAGGCAAAACAAGTTCTGACACACAGCTGACAGGAAAAATCAGCTTTATTTATATTGATCATCTCTCTGCATTACAAATTGTTCAGATTTATTGTTATTTTTGTGTTTACATTTGTCCAAATTTGCCCCGTTTTGCTTCGCTGACACGTTAGCCGTGTTGCTAATCTGCTGAAACGTCCTGCTGTTTAGCCCGAAGGGGATGACGTTAAAAAAACACGCGCTGAAGATTTTACGGTGTGTGAAGTTTGTGCTCTGCTGTGAGTTTGACGAACACTGTAAACAGCGTAATTAATCACAGAGCGGCTGTAATAAAGCAGAGAAGACGGAATAAAGCGAGGAGCTCTCAAAGGGGAGCTTTAATGATGAAGACAGTGACATCTGGTGGCCAAACCATGAACGTACAGCCATGAGAATCATTAGCTGTCTCTATAGGTCGTTCATGAGGCCTCTGGCACTGAGAAAATACGTATTAAGGGGTAACATTATTAATAAACCCTGTGAAGCACTGAGGGAATGATGGGAGCACATATGCCTCAGATGTAGGGCTAATCGGGGGGACGGTGGGGGGACCGGCAGTGTGGCCACATTAACAGGAGGTGAATACTTCTTAGTGATTTTTTACCTTAAAAAAGGTTAATTTAAGTACTTAAGTAATTAAGAGAAAAGGAGAAAGTGAGACGGGATGAGGGAGAGAGTAGGACTGCAGTCCTGTTACATATGTATTATATATATATATATATATATATGTTTATATGTTTGTATCTATGTGTCATATAAATATATTCCTTAAGTACAATTGTGTGTATCTTTATGTAATTTTAATAAATCTCATATGTATGGAAGTATCTATATATAATGATAATATGCCCCATATGTATTATTTATATACGCACTGAGAATTTTCTATTGCTAACCCAAATTTTAACGTCAGGAAGCAAAAGTAAACGGTTTAACTCTATTAGTTTTAAATAATGAAACACTGGGTGCACACACACACACACACACACACACACGCTGCACAATTGTGTGTTCGGTCGTCCTGTTCAGACAATAAGAACAGTACGAATGGAGGGTCGAGTTTCAGGGCCGCTCTCATGACTCATGCTTTGGGAATGCTAGCATGTTAGCATGTTAGCACTCCCTGGAGATCTCCAGTCTGAGCCTCAAATCCTGCCAGCTCTGCGTCCAACCAGGGACTTTCTGTGCATCCGAAAGTCTGGAGACATCTGCTGATCCAGCGTTTCCTCTGAAATGAAGGGTGTTAATAGGGAGTCTGTGCTGCAGTAACAGCCTCTACTCTTCTGGGAAGGCTTTACACTAGATGTTGGAACATTGCTGTGAGGATTCAATTGCTTTCAGTCACAAGAACAGGATAATCAATCCAGGGCTAACCAATCATAGGATGACAAATCATAGGCTAACCAATTACAGGCTACCCATCACAGGCTTACCAATCTTGGGTTAACTATTTACCGACTGGCTAACCAATTACAGGCTACCCTATCTTAGACTAACCAAGTCATAGGCTAACCATCACAGGATAACCAATCATAGGCTATCTGATTACTGCTTAACCAATCACTGGCTAACCAATCACTGGCTAACCAAACTTAGGCTAACCAATCACAGGCTAACCAATCCTGGGTTAACTATTTATAGACTGGTTAACCAATCACAGGCTAACCGATCACAGGCTAACCAGTCACAGGCTAACCAATCATATGCAAACCAACGGTAGGCTAACCAATCACAGGCTAACCAATCACAAGCTAACCAATCACAGGCTAACCAACGGTAGGCTAACCAATCACAGACTAACCAATCACAGGCTAACCAGTCACAGGCTAACCAATCACAGGCTAACCAATCATAGGCTAACCAGTCACAGGCTAACCAATCACAGGCTAACCAATCATAGGCTAACCAACGGTAGGCTAACCAATCACAGGCTAACCAATCATAGGCTAACCAATCACAGGCTAACCAATCACAGGCTAACCAATCATAGGCTAACTAACGGTAGGCTAACCAATCACAGGCTAACCAACGGTAGGCTAATCAATCACAGGCTAACCAATCACAGGCTAACCAACGGTAGGCTAATCAATCACAGGCTAACCAATCACAGGCTAACCAATCATAGGCTAATCAATCACAGGCTAACCAATTATAAGCCAAATAATGCTGACCAATCACATACTGATCATACATTTACATGAAGTGTTTTATCCAAGACTGATTTTGAATGAGGCACAATACAGGTCAACCAATCAGAACAGAGCTCATTTACATATATCAGTCTTAAAGGTACAGTGACAGAAGCAAAGAGGCTGGAAAATGTTCATGTAGAAATGAATGAAGACTGTTTTGGTACATAAACCCACACAGACGTCACAAGTGGAGGGAAGAGAATCAAATAGAGGAAAATTCAGGAAACGGGATTTTAATGCATTTTACCCTGATTTTATTTTCTAATAAAAAAGCCACTAATCTCACAAATCACTGAGGGCTGGTAACCCGAACATCCAGCTCGAAGCTCAGAGACAAACCACCATATGTTCTGACCTCAGGGAGCGACCAGGAGCCCCCCTTCTCTCCCCTCCCCTCCCCCCAACTCTCTCCAGAGCTGGAGCAGGTGTACCACAGCGTCCGTCAATGATCTCAGCACTAATTACCCTCCATTCACTCACTGTGCTCTTTACTGTGGGGAAGTGTTGGGGCTGCACGCTGGCAGCTGGTTTCTGTATTGATTACGTGTCTGTAAACCTGGTTTAGACTGGTTTAGAGTCAGAATGCGCTCTAAAAATGGACGAAATGTCAAACCACCATGTTTTACCATCCACATAGATACAGATGCCCTGTAAGAGATCAATTATGTCTGTGAATGCTGCACCAGTCTGTTAAACGGACTGATATAGACAGTCCAGATGAGTGCTGAGTACAAATGAACTGGACAAATGATGAATTAGGATAGAAAGGCAGAGCGATAATCAGGACTGAAAGTCATTTCTTGAAAGGAACAAAAATACAACATAAAATGAACCGAATTCAATTAAATAAATAACTGGTTTAACAAATTTGTGATCAAATAATTTGTGATGTTTGTTTGTTTGTTGCACCCACTAATGTAAAATTAATTTGATTTATTTATATATATATATATATATATATATATATATATATATATATATATATATATATCATATTTTTTTCAAACACTTTAAACTAATTATTTAACATTATTTATTATTGTTTCACATATGGTTGAATTAATTATTGTTATAAATATTAACTGCAATGCCACCCCTTACAGATAATGACTGAAATCACTCTTTTAAAGTGCTGAAATTTTATTTCCAGATCCTAAGTGAAGCAGTTAGGGAACTGGCCTTTTATTTTTAATGAAAGTGAGTAAAGCTCTTTGTCCTGCTGTTCCTCCTTTCCACCAGCAGGTGTCCTCAGTCCGCGTTTACTCTATTTTTACTGTGTTTGGTCTTTGTAGTTAAAGTGTTGATAACCAAATGTACACAAACACCAATCAGGCATAACATGCTGACCACCTCCTTGTTTTTACGCTCATTGTCCATTTTATCAGCTCCACTTACTATATAGGTGCACTTTGTAGTTCTACAGTTACAGACTGTAGTCCATCTGTTTCTCTGATACTTTGTTAGCCCCCTTTTACCCTGTTCTTCAGTGGTCAGGACCCCCATGGACCCTCACAGAGCAGGTACTATTTGGGTGGTGGATCATTCTCAGCACTGCAGTAACACTGACGTGGTGGTGGTGTGTTAGTGTGTGTTGTGCTGGTCTGAGTGGATCAGACACAGCAGTGCTGCTGGAGTTTTTAAACACCTCAGTGTCACTGCTGGACTGAGAATAGTCCACCAACCAAAAATATCCAGCCAACAGCGTCCTGTGGGCAGCGTCCTGTGACCACTGATGAAGGACTAGAGGATGACCAACACAAACTGTGCACAACACACACTAACACACCACCACCACGTCAGTGTTACTGCAGTGCTGAGAATGATCCACCACCCAAATAATACCTGCTCTGTGAGGGTCCATGGGGGTCCTGACCACTGAAGAACAGGGTAAAAGGGGGCTAACAAAGTACCAGAGAAACAGATGGACCACAGTCTGTAACTGTAGAACTACAAAGTGCACCTATATAGTAAGTGGAGCTGATAAAATGGACAATGAGCGTAGAAACATAATGTCATGCCTGATCGGAGTATAAATGAATTATAATTAAATACACATTCAAAGGGGGGAAAGTTACACACATTCCTCCCTGCAGCCTGGAATAAATCTGGATATAATACAGGGGGGAATCTGGCGCTGAAGGCCTAATAAAGGCCTCATAATGGAAGAGGGTTTTATTTGTACTGAAAAGGCTCTGATGTTTATTTTTAGGTCAGTCTAGTCTTTAATCAGTCAGCAGTGAGACAGGAAACTACAGACCAGTGAAAACTCACAGTAAGCCCTCATGGTATTGACCTAACTCACTTTATAAAGTTATAATCTGTTCATTAAACCAGGTTTTAAAACAACGTTCAATTTCAACAAAGAACAGAGCAGAAAAAGCCCATTTTTACACAGTCATGAATAATAAACAGGCCCAGGTGCTTAAACAGTGATGTGAAACAGGAATATCCAGTATTTATTTCAGCCTCCTGTTCAAACACAATGCAAAGTGCTGCTTATTGATCAGTGAATGAGCCTTTTAGCTAAAAATCTGCCAAAATCACAAAAGGAGTGAGGGGTGACGTCATTCAGGCCAACGCGTATGGGGCTGCCCGTCCAGCTGCCGGATCACAATCACACACAGGAAGGGATTAAACACAAACGCGCCCTTTTTAGGCAGCTTTTTCTCTTGTTTTACAACAAAACGCTCCGCCACCGATCATATTCAAGCCGCTGCAGGATCGCCGTGTTTGCAAACTGCAACATATGCGGTTTGTGGAACTGAAGTTTTCAGAGTTGCGGCTCTGGGTCCTTCAGGCGGAGCCTCCACCCTTTGTCGGTTTTATTTTCGCACCCGTATTGCGGAGCCACGCCGCCCTCCGCGCTCTGATTGGCCAGCGGCGCCGAGACGTCGACGCTGCAGCTAAATAAATAAATAAATAAGTGAATAAAAACAGCAAATATGAATAACTTTACATTTCATTTGTTTTCTGGGCGAATTTACCTTCACAGTTAGAGCGATATGTCAGTAGAAAAAGTAGAAACAGCAATTATTAATAAAGTGATGTAAAATATTTAAATAAAGCTTTATAAATATCAATATTATTGAATAAAGAAAATGTAAATGATTCTTAATAACAGAGTATACAAATTCTAGTTATAATATCTTTTAAATTTGTAATCAAAGGTTTACTCCTTCCTAAAAGGAAGCTGCAGTTTAATAAAAGCGATAAATTGCATAATTATATATATATACAATACCATAAATATATAAATATTTTTTCTCCTTACATAGGCCCCTCCTGTCTCTATATTTAAATTATTTCAGTTTCAGTATTTTCTTGTATTTTTATTTTTACTTGTTTACTTTCTGTGCGTCACCACAAGTATTTCAATGCATGAATGTCCTGACATGTTGTGCAGATGACAAATGAACTTGAAACTTGAAACGAATTAATTTAATTTTTATATAGATAATAAAGTAAATTGCTAATCAAGCAAAAGTGTTAATAAAATTAGATTTTAAAAAGTGTTAAAACAATAAAGATGCCTATTTCAAATAAAAATATTACTATAAATTATTAAAATATTACAAATATATTGCTTAATATAAAGTGATTACTTACACGCAAATAGAATAAAAGCTTTAATAATTTCTAAGTGTTATTTTAGTAAAAACTATGGTCTAAAAAAATCATGTTCGGTTTAAAATGCTGTATAAGAATGACAAATGAAAAAAATTATGAGATAAAAACTTTAAACTTTAATTAAAAAAACTGAAATAAAGTGATTTTTTAAAAAAAGAAAGTTTTTGAATATTCGCTCAGTGTCAGTTCGCCAGCCAATCAGGGCGCAGAGTGGGCGGGGCTGCCGGAATGCGGGCGGGAAAAGCGGCGCGGCTGATGGGGAAGATGGCGCCCGGAGTGGAGAAGAAGCTGCTGGGAGCCGCTGGAGAGCCGATGGAGAACAACGGAGAGGAGGACGAGGGGCAGAACCTGTGGTAAAAGAACACACCAGGGCACCCAAACGGAGCTAAACCGCTACTTTTACACTGACTGTGGGGCGCTGGGAGCGGGTTAGTGCGGGTTTGTGCTGTGTCACTGAGGGCGCTTCCCTTCAGCAGCTCAGCACAAACGCTGGAACACTCACAGACTGGGTTTACTCACCTTTACTCACCTCTACTCACCTTTACTCACCTTTATTTATCTTTACACACCTTTAGTCACCTTTACTTACCTCTATCCAGCTCTATCTGCCTTTATTTACCTCATTCTCAACACTGCAAACACCCTAAAACACTCAGAAAACTGGATTTATTCACCTTTGTTTACCTTATTCTGAACCCATGGCTCAATTAGAAATCATGCAGACTGTAACCTGCATGTTGTTGCATCAGTGTTTGCCATTAAAGTGATAAGCAGGATGTTAATATCATCAGTAGGACTGTTCTCTAATCTGTCACTGCTGGGTTTGTTTGTTTATTTGTTTGTGTTTGTCTTGTTAGGTAATTGTTAGTTTGCTGTAACATGTTCTTCTGCAGAAAAAGCGATGAGAATAACTAATTGATAAGATTATTTAGCTTCAAAGGGATTGATTTTATACCTTAAAGTATTGGTACTGTGTTTGTTTGTTTGTTTGTTTGTTTGTTTGAGTATAAATTGCTGTAGCTTTTTCTTCTGCATTACAGGAATGAAAATATCAGTCAGATAACGTTGTCTGTTATCTGTGATCTGTCTGCAAGCGAGCCGCCCTCCATCTCCAGCTCTGCATAGCTGAAATGATTCCCAAAGCTTAGATTTGCTGCTCATTTAAAATGATCTGGTTTTTTGTTGTTGCTCATTTATTGTCAAGACAGTTTTCATAGGTTCGAGCGAGTGTGTCACCTTCGCAGGGTCGGTCAGGGTGAAGCTTAAGGCCCTAATAACAAAGACTGAAACAAATCTGGCTGTGATTAATCATGCATAATGAATATCTGAGTGCTAATAACGTAATAAGGCATTTTCAGGTTATTCCCAATAGTCCGCTTTACTGTGTCAGACGTGTGATGTGTGAAGTGAGATGATCCTGCCCTGTTTGTCTCTCGCAGGTCTTCAATCCTCAGTGAAGTTTCCACACGTTCCAGTTCCAAATTGCCATCGGGAAAAAATATACTGGTGTTCGGTATGTGTTATTTTATAACCACCACATTGATGCCTGTCGAGAAGTTTACCACACCCTGTGTCCTATTTAGGCCCGCACTCGCACTTTAATGCTGTGCCAGATAGTGTGTGTGGTGTGAGTGTGTGTGTGTGTGTGTGTGTGTGTGTGTGTGTGTGTGTGTGTGTGTGGCTTCACCTTTATGTTATAAAATAGCTGATTTCTGCTGTGCTTTTTCTGCTTAAAGGGACAAAATCTTGCGAAATCAAGTTTTCCTCACTTTTTTTGAATTGTAAACAAACTCTAACGTCTGTGTCGTCCACATTAGGGACGCACTGATATAGAAATTGCGGTCACTTACTAGCACTTCGCTGTTTTTGGAAGAAAACCTTGTATCTCCATTTTTGTCATTTTTTAGTTTCTGACATAATTTGAAAATGCCTGTTGCTCTTTACATTGTGTGTAAGTTTAATGATGAATGGACTGAAAGAAACGGCCCAAAAAAAGTCTGGTTCCATGGACTTGCATTAAAAGTAAAGCAGGGTTTTTTCCTTCTCCTGAAAAGTTACCATTTTGGAGATATGAGGTTTTGTTCCGACAGCAGCGACTTATTTGTGGTGGGTTATGAATGTAAAATTAATAAAATGTAGATATATTATATGTGAGAACCCAGTGACACCTAAATATTTTGCTTTACTGTAGTTAAATAAATTCATCAAGTATTGTTTTGAAATGTCTGTCAGGTCTAAACCTCTGTGGGCTGCTTATATTTCATTTATTTATATATTTTTATGCAATATCTGAGGACACTGATCTGAGTCTGATATCATCATGTGTCCACTTGTACAGCCTACAGCAGTTTAGCCCCGCCCTCTCACACTGAAGCTATACGGAGTGTTTCAGCCCGGACTGCTTATTCAGATCAGCTGCAATTCAGGACAGCCAATTAAAACAGATTTTAAGAGCTCGTTTACATATCGTCGCTGTCTGTAGAAAAACTGCTCTGTACATTGTGTGACCATTTCATGATGAATGGATAAACAGAAATGCTCCAAAATTGCTTGGAATAAAATCACTTTACATTAACTTACATTGAAAGTGAAGAACATTTTTGTCCTCTTCTGTAAAACGTACCGTTTTGGAGATGCTTGTTTTTCTTCGGACAGCGACGATGTGTTAAAGGCACGGTCTGTTTAATCCTAAATGGGAAAGTGGTCATCTATGTATGATGTAAGAGCACACAAGCAAAGCAAGTGGACCTCAGTGGGCAAAACAAAAATGCATGAAATATAGAGGCTACAGGGCCTTTCAGCTCAAGGCTGTTGCGCTTACGTTTTCAGGCGAGGATGGATCGGGGAAGACGACACTTATGGCGAAGCTCCAGGGAGCCGAGCACAGTAAAAAAGGGAGAGGGCTCGAGTACCTGTACCTGAGCGTCCACGATGAAGACCGAGACGGTGAGTCACGTAAACAGTCCACTCGGAAAATAAAGATGATTCACTTAAACTACAAGCTGCTGATGAGTCTTTGGCCCAATCCCGTTTCACTACTCACCCCTACCACTCAGCCCTTAGCCCTCTGTTTTGCGAGTTCAAGTCTGGGGGTAGGGTGTAACAATTCTTGTTGAGATAGAGGGGGAGGGTGAAGTGTTGGGGCTACATGACCCTCCAAATGGAGGTTTTTCAGAGACTCCAAACAGAGAGTTATGAGAAAAAAAGAAAAACCGGCAAGATGGAGAACAAGAGACCAAAGAAACACACAAGTGTGAGAATTTTCTCTGGTAAAAATTACGATAACCAACATATTATCTTAGTTTGATGTTGTTTCAGTGTATTATAGTCCTTTTCTTCATAACAAGCATAAAAAATGCTAATAGCATGCTAATGTCACAATAGCAAACTAGCTAACTTCCCGTTCCACCTTAAATAGTCCAGCAGTTCAGACGCCTGAAGCGCCAGAATGTAACTGCTGCTCCATTTAAGGTGGAACAGGAAAATTGAGTGAGGAGCTGAACTTTACCCTCCTCTGCTGTCACTGCAGACTGGCAGGGTCGCCTACAGAGCAGCGCTGGTAGCTGTTAATGAAGTGATGCTCTTTTTATTTGAGGGTCCCATTTCAGAGGGCAAGATTTCAACCACTACCCTGTAACTCAGTTCCAAGGGGTTAGGGTGACACTCGAAAACAAGGGGTAGGGGTAAAAAGAAGAAATGGGATTGGGCCTTTGAGCTCCTTGAAAGCTCCTTATAGCTTAAAAAGCCTAATTGAGCAGGAAAATGGGATAAAGAGTTCAGCTTACATGATATAAGTAGTCCTGGGTCTTCGCTGTGGCTTTGAGGGCTTTCTAAAAACATCTGTTACATCATTTCCTGCCGTGGGTGCCGTTTGCAGGAGGGATGCGTTTGCTGGTCAGCAGCTGATGTTAATAATAACCTTGTTTGAATGTCTTGGTGCAAAACTCTTAACTTGCTTGCTAAGGAGATCACTTTAGATCAGAGACTTATTAGAAACCCAAAGCACTCGGACTGGGTCTTAAAGAAGAACTGATTTAAGTGTTTTCTGCATAACTCAGTGTGTGAGATGTAAACAGGGTGATTCAGAGTGGTTTGGTGTGAAATGGTTCAGATGTCTTTACAGTGGTGGTGATAGGAACCAGGGGTCGCCATGACTACAACACAAATATAGACATTTTATTTACTATCCAGAACCACCAGTGAACCTACACGAGTCTTCTGAGCTTATATGGAATGTTGATGATAATAATAAAAATAAAAATAATAAGTTTTCTTTGGGGACTGTTTGATTGGAGCGTTTTACACCAAACTGCTCTGAACAACTTTGTTACCTTGTCCACCTCCACCTCCCAGTTCCTTTCACCAGCTGCGAACAGAGCCAGAGAGACTGTAGCACATCTACCAGAGTTCTTCAGATCCTTAAATTCAGTTTACAGTCTAGTGATTACAAAGTTCAGGACCAGAACCTGAATTTAGAGACGTCTGTGCTGTAAGTTTCACACAAAAGCCCAAAGAAACTGCATCAAACCCATTAATGAATGCAAGCTGCGAGTTTATTTTTTCCGCTTGTAGTGAGTAGTGATGTGTGTACTAGAGAACTCAAGGTAATAGTTTGAGATGAAAATATTAAAAATACTGAAATCGGAGCATTGCAGAGAGTGAAACGTTGCAGAGATGTTTCACTTTGCATGCAGCGCTGTAACGCTAGAGGTGTGCAGTGTGGTGATATTTGTTATTGCGATAAACTTTGCTTTGCTGAACACAGCGTGCACATCGTCAGTACGTGGAGAACAGTATGTCTAATTAAAAAGTGGAGTGTAATTAGTTCTCTTTAATTGGATTTAGTGCAGTTCACTGTGTGAAGTCTTGCAACATCGTAGCAACCACCTGGGACACCATAGCAACACTCTAGCAACCAGCTGGGACACCATAGCAACACTCTAGCAACCACCTGGAGTACCACAGCAAAGTCATTGTATCTCGAGTGTTTTCAGTTAGATCTGCCGTCTATTTTAAAAACGTCTTAATTATCATGATGTGATTCCCAGGTCACCCTCTCCTTACCAGACGCTGCTGCCAGCATCTGTAAAAGTTGTGCAAATTGAAACTAAACACATGCAAAGAACTGAAAAGTGTGCATTTCATTCTAAAACAGAAACACTTTCTCCCAATTCTTGTGAAGAGTCAGCCAATGATACATGACCCTGTCCAGGATTGACAACCAATCAGCTACCAGCTTCATCTGGGGGGCCGGATTGGCCAGTCAAAGCTCTGGGCTGCATTCTTGGTCCTGATTTATCATGATGATATTTTTTTCCGGATTTGTTTGCCTTTCAGACCTGACGCGCTGTAACGTGTGGATCCTGGACGGAGATCTGTACCACAAAGGCCTGCTGAAGTTCGCCGTTTCGGCCGAGACGCTGAAGGACAGCCTGGCCGTGTTCGTGGCAGACATGTCCCGGCCGTGGACCATCATGGAGTCCCTGCAGAAGTGGACGAGCGTCCTGCGGGAACACGTGGACAAGCTGAGGATCCCGCCTGAGGAGATGAGGGAGATGGAGCAGAGGAGTGAGTGCTGACTCATAAAGAGGCTTTTATGTTTCTGTCACTTTGGAGAGATTAAGGAGGCGGAGTCCTTCAGGCCTTAAAGCGATAGTTCAGATTTAGGTCAAATTCATTTAGACCCACCCCAAAGCCTTTTACCCCCAACCCATTGCACATTACACCCCACCTATTTCCCCCAATAATTAACCATTATCCCACCCAATAAACCCCACCCATTACCCCTGCCCATTAATCCCACCCCTTCACCCCACCCATTACACATTACACCACATCCCATTACCCTTTACCCCAACCCTTTACCCCCAACCCATTACACCCCAACCCTTTACCCCTCACCCATTACACATTACACCCAACCTACTACCCCACTAATTAACCATTACCCCACCAATTAACCCCCACCCATTACCTATTACCCCCACCCATTAACGCCACCCATTAACCCCACCCATTCACCCCACCCATTCCTCATTAACCCCCACCCATTACCCCTGACCCATTACTCCCCACCCATTACCCCCACTAATTAACCACTATCCCACCAATTAACCCCCATCCATTACCCCTGCTCATTAACCCCACCCATTCAGCCCACCCATTCCTCATTAACCCCCACCCATTACCCCTGACCCATTACTCCCCACCCATTACCCCCACTAATTAACCACTATCCCAACCATTGACCCCCACCCATTACCTATTACCCCCACCCATTAACGCCACCCATTAACCCCTATTATCTATTACCTCTACTAATTAACCCCACGCATTACTCATTATCCCCCACCCATTACTTCAAACGTATGTCTGATCCAAACATGTCTAGTGTTTGAAATTTGCTTCTCTCATTTTAGCTCCACCAATTAGCATCCATGCTTAAATCATCACTCGCCTCAAACTGTGTGGACTTAAATAATCTCTAGTAGACTTGCTGACGCTGTATGACACACTGTTGTCTAGAAACATGGATTAATTTATAGTTTAACTATTATAGGTGTTAATTGGTGAAGTACAAGCTTCCCTTACTTATTAGCAGCATTAGCCTTGTAGCTAACTGAGCAAATTTCAGTTCAGTGCCTCACATAGTTACATACATTGGCCTCTAACTGAAAAAAGAGAAGTGCTTCAGTGTGAGTATTTCTTTCCGTGTTGGTGGGAACTTCCCAAAATTGCCAAACTACAGTAAACATTGTAATATAATGGCATTAGGATGCTGTTTAAGGCTTGGGTGCTTTGGCAGAACTGCAGTTTTCCAGTGAAACACAGTTCTATCTGTGTTTTAGTCAGATAATGTTCATATGTCATCAGTGTGTCATGGTAATGAGTTTATTTTGCCCATTTAACATGAAAGCAGTCGTCCACAGCCTGTTGCTTAGCTATGCTGCAGTTCTGTGGTGGTGAAGTCTTTTCTGAGTGTCCAGTTAAAGTGCTGACCCGCAGCACTGTGGTCTTCTGGAGCTTCTGTTTGTGATCGTTTTGTGTTAAACAGAACTTTCACGGTTTGTGTATGTGTGAAAATGAAAAGAGGAAGCAGTGATGTGAAGCTCAGGCTACTTCTGGCTATAATCTGTACGTCAAACAGGCCGACCTGTATGCTTACATGGTGGATCAGAGCTTTGTGTAATGTTTTTTGCACTTGTTTAGTTAAGAAAACAGTTTGGTCACTTAGTTGGTCACTTTACTGCGTTGTTGAAGCCAGACCTTCATGGGGCCTTTCATTCATTTTATAACAGTAATAATAATAATAATAATAATGATTTATAATAATAAAAAGTAAATAAGTAACGTAAATATTAAAAATAATTAAACATACAATGTTGACAAGAATGGTAGTACTAGTAAAAAAATAATAATAATAATAGTAATAATAAAAAGTAAGAAATGAATGTTAATGTCAACAAGGTATGATGATGATGATGATGATGATGATAATAATAATAGTAATAATAATAATAAATATTAAATTTATATTAAAATTAATTAAATAAATAACATTGCCAACAAGGATTGTAGTAGTAATAATAATAATAAGAAGAAGAAGACGAAGAATCATAGTAGCAGATGTTTTTGTTTTGTAAAGCATTGGGTATGAGATGCTATTATTATTATTATTATTATTATTATTATTGCATGTGTTCCACAAACACACAATTGCTTTACAAAATGTTCATGACACTCAGTATGATATCATGACTTTCAATGCAAATTATACCAATTTTTTAAATATTATTATTATTATTATTATTATTATATTGCACATTACCACTAAATCCACTTAAACCTGACTAACTACGCTCTCTATAACAATGTCTACGTGATACAGTTTATCACAGTAATGATAAATATTGTCACATCGCTCAGCCCTTATATGATACACTGTGGTGCGTAGCAATAAAATCACAATATAGTATTGAGTCTGTATCATGCAGACCTACTTTTAAACTCTGGGTGACGCAGAGCAGAAGTGAGTGTTCCTTCTGCATTAGGAGTGTCTCTGAGCTCTCCTCCTGTTGGACAGGACTGAGTTTGGGCTCTATCTATTTTCTGATCAGTCTAAATCGGGTCGGCAACATGCAGCTCGTTCACTGCCCTGTTGTGGCTCCACAGCTGAATCAGATTAGAAGGTAAAAATAAAATAATCCTCCTTTACAGTAAAATAAAGCTCTGCTGATCGTTCAACACAGTTTAACAATAAATGGTCTTAAACTCTGGAGTTAATGTAGAACTGCTAATTCACCCTTTAACCCTGATGATCAGCGCAGACTGCTGGTCACCATGGCAACACAGACAACAATCTCGCCTAGCTAGTAGCTAACGAAACGGCAAAGAGAGAGATTTAAGACCAACATCGATAATTTGGAGACAAATTGACTTATTTGTGTTTATAATCACTCCAGCTGGTTTCCTGGTACGTTTAATCTGCAACCAGAAACTGAAACACTAAAAAGTCACAAGGCCGAAGTCGCTTCTCATTCACCAACTTTTTTTTCCCGTTCCACCTTAAATGGTGCAGCTGTAATGTCAGGCACCATTTAAGGTGGAACGGGAAAATTCGAACAGGAAGCTGCTGAATGAGAAGCAACTTTAGCCTCGTAAAAAGTCGAACACTGAGAGACATTTTACAAGAAACTGTTCTACTTTTGAGGAAAAGTTTCCTGCTGGAGATGTGAGAAAAGCAGCTATAGCTGAGCTAAAGCTTAAAGCAGAGCAAAGTAAGTCTGAGTTTTTGTTTGGATTATATTTTTAGCCTTTATCAGCACATTTAGCACATACTGAGACATATTTACAGCCAATATGGTAAAACGTTACATCAGTAAAATTAACATAAAATGCTGTCTCTCTCATGGTGGTTAGATTTTTGTTGAAACGGGACAAAATGGTTCTTTTTAACGTTTTGGTTGCGACCCCTGATCTAAAGTGATGATAACATGTATAATTAAACCTCAGATCAGCATCTAACAGTGCTTTTTTTTTATGATTTGCATGTAATTTGCATACTTTTATTCACAATCAGATTTGCATTTTTGTAATTTTTTAATGATAATTGGTAAAAATAAACCTGTAGAAGATAAAAGTACTGGTTTAAAAATTGCGCTGTAACTATATAGTTTGATGGATTTGAGAAGATTTGTGCTCAGATGTCAGGTATCAGATTTGGACCTTAACGGGTTAATAAGTCCTGCAGTGTGAAGCAGACCGTCTAACAGGAGGATGTTGGGAGGGGATGATGTCATCGCTCCGTCAGGCTGAGGGGAGTGAGTGGGCGAGCTAGAGAGAGAGAGAGAATGGTTTGGGCTCGTGTCCAGGCCCTGTTACAGGCCGGTTGCATCATGGTCTGCTCTGACATCTGATTCTCAGAGCTGTGCTGGATTGGGGCTGAGGAGAGCGTCGCGCTCAGGGGCAGCGCTCGGTTTATACGCCACATTTAAAGCCGTATATGCAGTATTTAAAGTGTTTGTCTTAGGCTTGTTCAGCGGACGGTGGACAGGACCACACCCGTGTTTGGTTTAAGTGAAAGTTGGTCAAAGTCGACAAGGGAAAGTGTTTACAGCTGCAGTCTGACTGTGTTTGAGTGAAAGGGTTGATGCTGTTTATGGGCTGCAGTGTCTAAAACTGTGGGCTAAATTATGGTTATTATTGATTACCAATGGTAATCTTTAATCTCAACGATTAAAGAAATCTTTTATTTTCTTATTAGTATTATTTTTACGTTTAAAAGGCCCATATAATGGAAAACCAAACGTCTCACTTTATTTTATTTTATTAATTTATTTTTTGAATAAATTAGCTTGATGTAGTGTGGAACATTATGACCACCTCCTTGTTTCTACACTCATTGTCCATTTTATCAGCTCCACTTACTATATAGGTGCACTTTGTAGTTCTACAGTTACAGACTGTAGTCCATCTGTTTCTCTGATACTTTGTTCTTCAGTGGTCAGGACCCCCATGGACCCTCACAGAGCAGGTACTATTTGGGTGGTGGATCATTCTCAGCACTGCAGTAACACTGACGTGGTGGTGGTGTGTTAGTGTGTGTTGTGCTGGTCTGAGTGGATCAGACACAGCAGTGCTGCTGGAGTTTTTAAACACTGTGTCCACTCACTGTCCACTCTATTAGACACTCCTACCTTGACGGTCCACCTTGTAGATGTAAAGTCAGAGACGATAGCTCATCTGCTGCTGCACAGTTTGTGTTGGTCATCCTCTAGTCCTTCATCAGTGGTCATAGGACGCTGCCCACAGGACGCTGTTGGCTGGATATTTTTGGTCAGTGGACTATTCTCAGTCCAGCAGTGACACTGAAGTGTTTAAAAACTCCAGCCGCACTGCTGTGTCTGATCCACTCAGACCAGCGCAACACACACTAACACACCACCACCACGTCAGTGTTACTGCAGTGCTGAGAATGATCCACCACCCAAATAGTACCTGCTCTGTGAGGGTCCACGGGGGTCCTGACCACTGAAGAACAGGGTGAAAGGGGGCTAACAAAGTATCAGAGAAACAGATGGACTACAGTCTGTAACTGTAGAACTACAAAGTGCACCTATATAGTAAGTGGAGCTGATAAAATGGACAATGAGCGTAGAAACAAGGAGGTGGTCATAATGCTATGCCTGGTCAGTGTAGGTTGCAGTTAGATGTGGTGATGTGGCAAAAATATATTGCGATACTTTGAGAAATTTTCACAGTACAGTATTTGTTTTCAGACATCTGATCAACTGGAACTGGGAAAAAAGCACCGGTAGAGCTAAATTAAAAAAAAAATAGATTAAAAACTCCAAACACCATGATTTTAAGTTAATATTTGGCACTAAATCCAGTTAAAAAGGACTAATTTTGCTCTCTTTATGATGAAACATGCAGTTGGTCAGTGTTTTCAAACAGTGTTGTTGAGTAAAACATCTGAAAATACCTTTTGGTGAATAGCTTGTAACGTTTACGTCCTCGTTGTATAAGTTGTTATTGCATAAAAGTAATAAATTAATCTGGCCAGTTACTCCACACTTTCGTACGCTAGTCGTATCTGTAACTATCTGGCAGAATCATCACTTGTGGAAGTTTGTGATGCCAAAAATTTACAGTATGTTCCTCTAAACTGCTGGTACAAACAGCTGCAGCTAAGCATGTTGTTATTTCAAAACAGCTCCTTGTGATTTAAATAAGTATTATTAGTGTTCCGGACACTCTGGTTTGCCCTCTGGAGCCGCTCTCACTGATCTATGACTCTTATGTTCTCTGAAAGAGCTTTATTATGTTGGTGAAGAACCAAGAAAAATGCTTTTTGCTCCCATGTGAGCTAAATAAGTCCTTCTCCAGCTCCTCTGAGGCCCTCTTTCTCTTTTTTTGCACGCATATTAGAAACGCAAGTATTTTTATTTTTAGTTTTATTGATTTATTGATTTATTTATTTATTTTGCCCTACATAAATTTAATGAAGTGACCTTATGAACACCTACAGAGATCAGCGCTGGGCTAATGATGCACTTCAGTACAGCAGTGTTTCTACAAGCAGTTAATCTATGAACTGTTATTTAATAGAAGTCGTATGAACTTTAAATTAAGTTTAAATGAAACAGTAGAAGCCGTATCGCCCCCTACACTTCCTGTAGTGTATTACAGTCTGTCAGAGTGACTGTGTGGATCATATGAACATTATAGAGCTTTTTAAATGAAACAGTAGAAACCATATCGCACCCTACACTTTCTGTAGAGTATTACAGTCTGTCAGAGTGACTGTGTGGATCATATGAACATTATAGAGCTTTTTAAATGAAACAGTAGAAGCCATATCGCCCCCTACACTTCCTGTAGTGTATTACAGTCTGTCAGAGTGACTGTGTGGATCATATGAACATTATAGAGGCTTTTTAAATGAAACAGTAGAAGCCGTATCGCCCCCTACACTTCCTGTAGAGTATTACAGTCTGTCAGAGTGACTGTGTGGATCATATGAACGTTATAGAGGCTTTTTAAATGAAACAGTAGAAGCCATATCGCCCCCTACGCTTTCTGTAGTGTATTACAGTCTGTCAGAATGACTGTGTGGATCATACGAACATTATAGAGGCTTTTTAAATGAAACGGTAGAAGCCGTATCGCCCCCTACACTTCCTGTAGTGTATTACAGTCTGTCAGAATGACTGTGTGGATCATATGAATGTTATTGAGTGTTTCTAATTATACATCCATAATAACATTTTCCTCATAATGTATATTGTCTTTATTCAGTGAGTTTTTGCAGAGGTAGGTTTTTGTTATATAACAACATCTTCAGATTCAGAAGTTTTTCAAAATCTTCAACTCAAAACTGATTGAAACATAAATGAGAAGTTTAGCAGTGCCGTTATTTGTGTGTTGGCCTGCTGGGCTGTGTGTATCCTCTGTTCTGTTGTGTCTGGAAGATTTTAGCAGGAACGTCAGTTTCAGCTCTCTGTGTTCTCTGGCCGTGGTCGGGGGGGTTGGTTGTATTTCCGTGGCCTTTCTGGGTCGTCTGGAGCTGCATTCCTCCGCTCCGTTCCTTCCTCAGGAAGTCCCTCCTCTCCCCTTCGTCTTGGAGTCTTCTAGATCTGTTAATCAACAGTGTGGGAAGGCATCTGTCGCGATTATCAATCAAGTTGGGCATTTAAACATCTAAAAACACGCTGCAGCTTTAAAATGGACAAAAGTAACATTTGTGTCACGGTCAGTTTAGACTGTGTTTAGTAAAGTAGCAGCGCAAGAGGTTTTTTTCCCCACACGCTGTTGTGCTGGTTAAACTGATAAAGCTGTGCAGCAGCTTTCCATACACGGAACGCCTTTCCTCACCAAAAGATTTTTATGTTGTGATTTACATCAGTTTTCAAAAACAAAACAACAGCATACAGAGTAACAGGAACCTTGAGGCTACTTCACATGATTAAGCTTTAGCTGTTTTATTATTTAAACGATAACTTAAAATATCATTAAGGCTGTAACCGCAAAATGTTTTAAACTAAAGGCAAAAACTTTGACGTCCAAAGCAAAACTACCAAACCATACCAAGGAAAAAACAAGCGTACCAAACAACACTAAAAACTACCAAAGCCATACAGTTCAACTACCAGCCCATACCAAGAGCAACCAAACCACACAATCAACTACCAGCAAATACCAAGAATAACCAAACCACTTAATCAACTACCAGCCCATACCAAGAACCACCAAACCGCACAATCAACTACCAGCAAATACCAAGAATAACCAACCCACCTAATCAACTACCAGCCCATACCAAGAACCACCAAACCGCACAATCAACTACCAGCCCATACAAGAACCACCAAACCGCACAATCAACTACCAGCCCATACCAAGAACAACCAAACCGCACAATCAACTACCAGCCCATACCAAGAACAACCAAACCGCACAATCAACTACCAGCCCATACCAAGAACAACCAAACCGCACAATCAACTACCAGCCCATACAAGAACCACCAAACCGCACAATCAACTACCAGCAGATACCAAGAACCACCAAACCACACAATCAACTACCAGCCCATTTTCTCTGCTTAATCCGTAATATGCTTAGTTGTTTCAAGCCTGCAGTCCATATTTACAGCACCAGACGATGCGCTGGTGGGGCAGGATTGTGTGTGTGTGTGTCTCTGTGTGTGTCTCTGTGTGTGTCTCTGTGTGTGTGTGTGTGTCTGTGTGTGTGTGTGTGTCTTTTTATAATTATTATTTTTATTTATTCCCCACACCCCGAAGGCGACCTGCCTACGAACGTGGCAAATATGTGAATATTGGGAGCATCAACAAATATTGTGGCTTAATTAAACTACGTCTGGGTTTGTGCTAAATCCACTACTGCTTATTGATTCATAGTAATTTATCAATATTGTCCATGAATTGCTAAGTGGATTTTTTGTTTCTTTGTATACATGAGCGCTGGTTTTATACAGCAGTAGTGAGGACTGCTTTTTAGTTTAATGTTTAGTCATTGTGTTGCGTCAGGTCAACAAGGACTTCTGAGGAAGCTAATTAGCTGGAGCAGCTGTGGTAGAGACTGTGAGGATCTTTTATAGTGCTTTGTCATCTGACACACGTAAATTCAGTGTTACAGTTCTCGCACAGCCCAGTCTGAACTGGAATAAATGAAGACACTATGCCTCATTTTGAGACGTATCAAAATATCACTGTTATTGTCAGATTTTTGTTTTGTTTGATTTATATTCCTTCAGTAGTTCACTCAGACACTAACGGCTCCTGTTTCTCTCCCTCTCTGTGGTTTTTTAAGTGGTGAAGGCCTTCCAGGAGTACGCAGAGCCGGAGGACGCGGTGCCCTCTTCACCCCAGAGACGGGTCCCTCCGGCCGGAGGAGATGACGAGGGGGTTCTGCTGCCCCTCGGAGAGAACGTCCTCACGCACAACCTCGGCATTCCTGTACTAATAGTTTGCACAAAGGTACGACTGTCACTAACCAGCTGTTTCCACCCTGAAACTCCACCCAGTCGGCCTTGTTGCAGGATGACGAAACATTGCCAGAGTGTATTACGGAGGAGATAACATCAATCACACAGGCTGATCACAGAGAAGACGCACCGTGTTGTGTTTTGACTATGCTAATAGCTTCCTAGTGTGAATCGGGGATATAAATAAAACAGCCAACAAATTCAGCCTCTTTATGGAACGGGAAAAACAGGTGACTGTGCGTTAAACGCAAATTCCACAGATATTTTCCAAATTCCTCCACAGTTCAGTGTTTGAGATGTAATCAGAGTGGTTTGGTGTGAAACGGTTCAGATGTCTTTACAGTGGTGGTGATAGGAACCAGGGGTCGCCATGACACAGATATAGACATTTTATTTACTATCCAGAACCACCAGTGAACCTACACGAGTCTTCTGAGTTTATATGGAATGTTGATGATGGAAAATAGTGGAAAATCTGAAATAATAAGTTTTCTTTGGGGACTATTTTGCCTCACAGCGCCCTGCATGTATCCCTCCACCATGAATGGAGTTTAAGCCCAAAATCTTCTCAAAACTATCATAAAACAGTGTCTCAGTCATCAGGCGGTATGTTCAACTGTCTGTGAGGGAGCTTTTAGTGGTGGACGTCTGGTTCCTATCACCACCACTGTGAACAATTCTGACTCGGCAAGTTTCTCTAGAACTGAACGTTTCACACCAAAACCACTCTGAACGACTCCATTTACATCTTGACCAGTTAATTACGCCTAAAAATTCTTAACATTTGGTCAAATTCGTATTTATTTTGATGAATTTTGAACAGTTTGCCCATAATTCAGTTAAGAAAAAAAAGAGACTGGTTGTTTTGCCTGCATGGCTGTCTGAGCTCAGAGACGGGCTGCATTTTTGAGCAATGCTGCCGAATACAATTTGCAGTATTTTTAGGTTGCAACACATTTGTTTAGAGTTGAAGGAATAATTTCACCAGAAAAATCGAATGCACACCCTTTAGGGTGGGGGAAAAAAGGCACTTCTGAAATATAAGTATACTGTAAGTGTGTTATCTACTTCATTTTTTCCTTTATACTCCACTTACAGCATTTATGTTCTACCAAACGTTTTCGTAATTGATTTCTACTTTTTATCTCTTAGAACTAAAGAGGCTTTTCTGCTACAGAGCCTTTTAGACTGATGTTACGTAAAAAAGAAAAAAAAAACTCCTTATAACGCTCCTTATAACGTCAGGGTGAGTGGGAGGGGCTAAACTGCTGTAGGCTGGAAAAAAAATAAAATATGCATGTCCTTTAGAGATTATTATTCAGCACCAATATGTGGCCAAATTATAAAATGCAGATTTTTAAAGGATTCTAGTTAGAACAATACACAATGTAATGTTTTTACTCTGCATTTTTATTTTATGTTTTTATTTAAGTGACTTTTTTTAATTTACTTTGTGCAGTATTGTATTTAAAATAATAAATTAATATAGGAGTTGCGTTTTTATTATTTTTATTGTTACTGTTTGTTTCAATCTGTATATTTTAAAGGGCAGACAAAATGTTCCTTACGTTCTTAAAATAGTTTGATGTAGTGTATAAAAATGTCATCATTCTCCAGTGCAGCTAAACTACAAAAACTGCCCATTTTGAAATTCTGTGATGACATGGAAACCAGTGTATTTATGTATATCGTATGTGCTGAGTGTCAGCAGTTTAGCCCCACCCACTCACGCTGAAGTCATAAGAAGTGTTTCAGCCTGAACTGCCTTGTGAATGAGACACAATACAAGGCAGCCAGTCAGAACAGAGCTCATTTGCATACGTCAGTCTTAAAGGTGCTGAGAGACTCCTCAGTACTTCTGATAGCTGACTATCCCTGATTGTTGTGAGGAGCGCTGGACTCCGGAGTGTGAGATGTATTCAGCGTCTCCTCCTGCAGAGTCTCTGCTAATGAAAGACTCTCTTCATGCTGTCTGTATGGCCTGCAGTGATGGAGCTGCAGACCCTCACATGCTCTCTTAGGACACAACACCACAACTCACACCAACGACGCTCGCCCTGCAGCGCTGCACGACACACAACACCCCGCATTAACACATCAGGGAACATTTTCTTTTAGCCTCTTTCGTTTCAGTTCTTAATTAAATGAGAGATAATAAAGTCCCTCCTAAACCATTTATAAAGTGCTGGATTGAAAAACCCCACAGAGATAAAAATCACAGCATTATCATCGCACGACTCATTAAAGTCAACCTGAAATCTAAACTTTTATCTTCTTGGTTCATATTAAGCACAATTCAGCCGGTCATATCATGAGCCTGAATTCTTGTTTTTCCAGTAGTCTTCCATCAACATGTAATGACTTGCGCATGGGCCAAAAATATCAACCAATAATGTTGATTGGCAACCAATGATCTCCATCCCTCAGAATTAAACTGGCTGTTTTTGCTACTGTGCCTTTAAAGGGCCAATATCACGGAAAACTGGAATTTTGGCCCAATCCCATTTCTTATTTTTACCCCTTTTTTCTGAGTGTCACCTTGCACCTTGGAACTGAGTTACAGGGTAGTGGTTGAATCTTCCCTCTGAAATGGGACCCTCAAATAAAAAGAGCATCACTTCATTAACAGCTACCAGCGCTGCTCTGTAGGCGACCCTGCTAGTCTGCAGTGACAGCAGAGGAGGGTAAAGTTCAGCTCCTCACTGCTGGGCTTTAGTTACATTTAGGGCATCATATGATCTTCAAAGAGGGGGGCAATTATTTATTATCACCCACTCCTAATTCTTCAGTGATATGAAGCTCAGCTAATTGCCAGCTTCTTGTTCAAATTTTCCCATTAAACCTTAAATGGAGCAGCAGTTCTGATGCCTGAGGAGCCAGAATGTAACTGCTGCACCATTTAAGGTGGAACGGGAAATTTAGCTGTAGCTACCGAGACGTCAGCACTGCTGCTAGCGGTTTTTATGCTTGTTATGAAGAAAAGGACCAAAATACACTGAAACAATATTAAACTAAGATATACAGTGGTTATTGTAATTTTTAACAGAGAAGATACTCACACTTGTGGGTTTCTTTGGTCATTTGCTTGCCCAATCTCACATCCCCGTCCTGATTTCACTTTCCAAGGACCCTCGGCAAGAGTTATCAATTTAGCACGTTTTCATTATCATGCAAGCCAGAACTGTTAACGGTAAACTGTGTCACTGTTTTAATTCAGGGGTGTGCTAGCTTTGTTGCATTTATGAATATATTTAAGTTTACAAAAAATCTGGCACATAAATATCTACCTATGCCTTTTGAGGTTCCTCCCAGAATTGTTAATTGACGGCTGTGATATGTATGATTGATTCAGCCAGTAAAACCGTGAGTACCGTGACCGGAAAGCAGGGGAAGTAAGATCAGGACAGGGATGTGAGATTGGGCACCACACTGGTTTTTCTTTTTTCCCCATAACACTCTGTTTGGAGTGTCTGAAAAACCTCCGTTTGGAGGGCAATGTAGCCCAAACACTTCACCCCTCTATCTTAACAAGAATCTGGACACCCTACCCCTAGACGAGAACGCGCAAAACGGAGGGGTGGGGCTGAGTGGTAGGGGTGAGGGGTGAAATGGGACTGGGCCTTGATTTAAAATGTAAATGTTGTGAAACTGTACTGTTCACTCGCCAGTCAATATAGGAAAACACACTAAGCTGCAGAAACATGCTCTTTGTGTTGCTGTTTTTGTGATGTCATTAAAAACCAACACATTTACATAACATCTGCTAGAGGTGGACAATATGACAATGTTTTTTTTTGTTATTGCGATAAATTTTGTCATGATGCACACAGTGTGCTTCTCTGAGCATATTGAGGATATCGAGAGTAGTAGAGATGCATCGATACCATTTTTTCAGACCGAGTATGAGTACATATTTTTTAGTATTTGCTGATACAGAGTCTGATACTGTACCTAATGAATGCCTACTTGGAATAAAGTAGTTGTTAGTGTAAATGAGTGCAAAGTTAAATCTTTAAATTTTAAATGAAGTGCGTTAGCAAGCTCTGCTACATTAGTGGTCTCTGTTAGAGCAGCGCTGCAGTGGAGAAGAGCTGGTTTAGTTCCTTGTCAGAAAAGCTCTTCTGTACAGCTGTAAGTAAAGTAGGTTTCATAGTTTTGATCCTCACCTGTCTCTTTCAGCAGCAGCACGTTGACCGCAGGAATTACATCCGAGGCTTACACATCCGAGGAGCTCATGCTTCCAGTTTTCCGTCTTGTTGGAGTCTTTTGATTGGCTGGTTGAGCTGTACCTGAATGTCTTCTAAAGCCAGACAGACACTGTGTGATTTTAGAAATCTTGTTCTTTTGGTGACTCTCACTGTACGTTTGAATAGATCGTTGTATTCAGACAAAGCTACGATTTATAGACTCTGTACGCTGTACGAAAACGCTCTGTCTGACTGACCTGCTACGTTAAACGCAGCCTCTACAGACGCTCTGTCTACGGACCGTAATCAATAAAGCTGATTCATTCAGAAAAACACGAGTACTGAGCAAACACACTGAGACACTGAGCAGCACTGCTAACACTGAGCACTGAAGCTAAAGCAGGCGCTGATGTTCATGGTAGGACAGTTCGGTCTCTACAGCCTGATTTACAAACACAGCACTGTATTAATGTTTATACCTCACTATTGCACTCAAACAGAGTAAAGTCGCTTATATGGACTTTGGTAGGATATGTTGACTTTTTCTCCTCCGTTTTGTTGGCCTGTGTGTCTCCACCCGTGCTAGTGAAGTGGTTGTGATTGTGCATTTATAAACGGGCTAAAATCACACAGTGTATCCCTGATGGAAATCTGCCAAGGCGGAATGTTTAAAGTGACCAGCGGCTTTGTGTCCGACTGTGACGGAGTCAGTAACTCTTCTCTGTGTGAGCAGAGCCACGATATCAGCCAGTATCAGTGTTCACTTGTGAGTGAATGAGCACAGTGTCAGTACAAGTATCTGTATCAATGCATCCCTGATAATTAGTCTTGTTGAATTGGATGTAGTTCAGTGCAGTTTGTGAAATGTTTAGTAACCTCAGGTTTAAAATGTGGCCTTATTAGTGCTAAGATACATTTCGCTTTATAGGCAACCGTTACCATCCACCTCTTCCGTCCACAGCGCTTTAGCCCAGCCCATTCACGCTGAAGCTACAGCCAGACTGCTGTAGGGTGATTAGGTGGCATGTAAATGCATTGGTTGTTGTGACATCACAAAAAAACTGAGTTTTGTTTTATGTATTCCATGTATTGACTATAACATTATACTGTTATTGCTTTTCCATGCAGTGGGCTCTTTAACAGCCTAAGTTAATGTCAAGTGTGAATGAAAAACATTTATTAGGATTTCAAAACATTTTGAAAAGCTAACTGTCCCCAGACTTTCAACAGGCGGTGAAGATCTTTCTAATAAAATCAGCTGCCAAGCTGCTCTCTAACTGCTGAGTAAGCGTGTCTGGATGTGGCGTTGGGAGCTGCTGAGAGCTTGTGTGGGCTGCAGCCCTGTTTAGCACAGATTTGCTTCCAGACGGGCTGAGTTGAGTGCACTTGTCCGTTCCCAAAAGCGATTTGCACCAAAATATTCATTTTTCATGCCGACCTGCATATCTGATCAGGCACCCACTGCTTCTGCCAAAACGCTGGAGGGAGCGAGGGAACACGCGGCTCATCCTGAGTCACGGTGCGTCCTGCAGCCCAAAAAAGAGGCCTCTGAGGCCTTAAAGGGCTTATAGCATGGAAAACAGTTTCGATTTAAGTAAACATTTTAAAAACGTAAATTTCGCTCCCGCAGGCCACACAGGCAGATTGTTAAGTCAGCTGCAAAAGCAGGCAGCTGTGAATTCATCATGGTTGTGATGTCACAACCATGAAGACATTTACATGTGACCACCCGTTCGGCATACAGCAGGTTAGCCCCACATATTCATCCTACAGCAGTTAAACCCCGCCCGTTCGGCCTACAGCTAGGTAAACCCCGCCCATTCGGCCTACATCTAGGTAAGCCCCGCCCATTTGACTTCTGGCAGTTTAGCCCCACCTCTTTCGGCTTCTGGCAGTTTAGCCTTGCACTTTTGACCTACGGCAGTTTAGCCCTGCCCATTCAGCCTACAGCAGTTAAGCCGCGCCCATTCGGCCTACAGCAGTTTAGCCCCGCCCTTTCGGCCTGCGGCAGTTTAGCCCCGCCCTTTCGGCCTGCGGCAGTTTAGCCCCGCCCTTTCGGCCTGCGGCAGTTTAGCCCCGCCCTTTTGGCCTGCGGCAGTTTAGCCCCGCCCTTCGGCCTACGGCAGTTTAGCTCCACCCTTTCAGCCTGCGGCAGTTTAGCCTTGCTTGTTAGAATTTAAGGACTTCCTTGAAGGATTCAAGGAGTTACAAGACATAGCAGCCAATCACAGTAGAGCTCATTTACATACATCAATCATAAAGGCACAGTAAGAAAAACAGTCTTAGTTTATTTCTGGTCATAAAAAATGTGAAATATAAAAATGATGTATGACTGCAGTTGGTCCATCAGATCACATAAATGTCATAAGAAAGAAATAAAATGCGATAAAAGTGTGGAGTAAAAGCTCTTTAATGATTTTTTTTTGCAGGGTGGTGATTTGTTGTTGTGGTGTTTGTGGGAGGGAAGTGTAGCTGAATGTACAACCTGTTTTTCAATAATTTCATGCCTCTCATGAGAGAACAGCTGACTTCCCCGAGCTAAAATATCTCTCTGTTTTTATTTTTTTCTAGTGTGATGCAGTCACTGTGTTGGAGAAGGATCACGACTACAAAGAGGAGCATTTTGACTTCATTCAGTCCCACATGAGGCGATTCAGCCTACAGTGTATCCTTCAGTCTAACTGCCCTATTAAGAGTTTATTACAGTGAACTGAGCTCCTCACCAATTGTTGATTTTGGGGAAATGTCAGTAAACTACAGACGTGGGAACTAAGGCAGCTTTACACTGTATGATAACTGTCGTGATGATGCTGTCACAGACAATCACAGATCGCAAAAAGAGTTCTTTGACCGTGAGTTAACATCTTAAATGGCCAGATCCCACCAGCAGCCCCAAAGTTTAATACACACTTCTATAACCTAAGAATAGCTCATCCAGTTTGTGCTGAAGTCGCTGTAGTTACTGAATAATTCGCCTGAGATTTTAAAGGGCTATGACACACAGCTAACAACAAATGATGTGTGTGTGTGTCCTTTAAAGCGAGGACGGAGTAGGGACGCCTGAGGCAGGAGTGACTTTTTCAGCAGCGGACATTCACCTTTTTACCCGCAGAACACAAAGCAAAACACAAGAACGAGAATGTGACCACTTATCAGTGGCCTCTAGATAGACTCTTTAGTCCTTTTCTGACACCCAGGCTTTTCAGCTCGTCAGTCTTTCTTCTGCTTCCGCTCAACCATGTTTTTCCTCTCTCTTCCCTCTCCGCTCCTGTTCAAGGTGCCCATGCTGCCGAAGTCAAACCAGCATCAGCTGGCACTCATTAAGGGCAGCGTGAGCACCTGAGCTGAGAGGGAAAGAGAGCCCATTGCTCCGCCTCCCCGTGACCGCCCCACGCTCGGCAGCTCGACCACCTTGATCGAACAAATTGAGCTGTAGTGAAGCGGTCTCGCTGTGGAACAGGGGGTGGGGCCCGGGCGGGATTTGCGTGCCGCCCCCTACTCACTCGCAGTGTTCCTCTCCCTCCTGTCCCGCCTGCCTGGCGGCTCTCGCAGCCGTCATCGGGGCCTGAAGGACAGGCGCATGCCGTATACCCCCATCACCTTACTCGGGCCGGGAACCCAGTCTGAGCTGACAACCCCCCATACGCTACACAGCTTTTAAACCCAACAGGTTTCTGCTCAAAGTCAAAGTCCGAGTCGCTGGCGTTCAGGGCAGAGTCCATGTCACTGGTGTTTGGCCCGGAGTCCAAGTCACTGGTCTTTGTGCCGGTGTCCGAAGTCACTGGCCAAGTCACTGGCGTTTGGGGCGGTGTCCGAGTCGCTGGCCTTCGGGGCGGAGGCCGAGTTGCTGACCTTCGGTACGGGCTTGTGAGTTGTAATAGCCACTAAAAAGTTTGCCAAATCGATGCAAAACACAAGTCGTTGGAATTCTATGTTGATTCAAGTCGATTAACTTTCCACACTGAAGGTATAAAAATAAATATTTAAACGCTGACACGTTTATTTTTTAATGCTAAGTAGAACAGTAAATATTGGCACAGCGAAAACTGAAAAATATTTTATTTGATAGACATCAGTGGTCATGTTTTTGATTAATCTGTCAATAAAATCTTCTGCAAAGTATTTTAAATGTATAGGGGGGGTTTTATTTGTAGTTCTGATTGGGTACTTTGGGGGTCTCAGCTGTAACTGTGTGTTAAACCAACCTTCTCCATGTGGAGGCTGTACTTTAGCCTGTCTCGCTCTCACTGTGAGCTGTTCATCTGCTTCTAAACGCTGCTGTGTTAGACACACCAAGAGGAGGTGAAAATAATACAGGAGAAAATTCTGTGACTTTGCTTCTCTGATTATAAAACATCTTCTGAAGGGAATCTTGTTCTGCGGTGCAGCTGGTGTCTGTTCCTTAACCTCATCCCACAGATGGAGCTGCCTTGATCTACACCTCCGTAAAGGAGGAGAAGAACCTGGACCTCTTGTACAAATACATAGTGCACAAAATGTACGACTTCCAGTTCACCACGCCGGCCTTAGTGGTGGAGAAGGACGCTGTGTTCATGTAAGAGACCCAGCAGCTCCTCTAACGTCAATGACCACTCGGGCTTAAAGCCGCCTACATCAGCCTTTTATTCGTTTTCGCTAACGGACTCAGTCTGTTTATTTCAGTGTGAAGCTGACCGTCTCTGCATCAGTGTGTCTGTTACTGTCCTCTGTGTGTGTATTAGGCTGTACTGACCTCTGTGTGTCTCTACACTCCGTTTACAGTCCGTCTGGATGGGATAACGAGAAGAAAATTGCGATTCTGCACGAAAACTTTACAACGGTTAGACCGGAAGATCCCTTTGAGGATTTCATCATGAAACCTCCAGTACGAAAGGTAAGACAGACGGAGCTGTGAGAGAAGAAGACATGCGGAGTTAAATTAGCATTTTAACCATGTATTTTTGCAGAATTTACCTGTTTCTACCTGTTAGATCTACTGTAAACACTGTCTTTATATATATATATATATAGAAAATATGATATGATCATTAAAGGTGAGGTGTAATGCCCTGGTCAAATTGCATGTTGTTGGTTTTCTAAGTATAGATAAGCTGAAATAAATAAGGAAATCAACAAAGCATGTCATTTGACCGGGGCGCCTAAACTTTTGTATATGGCACAATAAGTGCGTTTACACACACTTAATAATCCAAAAAGTGCAGAAAATCAGATTTTGTCAGTAATCCGATCAACACATTTACATGCACTTGAGTAATCAGATAATGTGGAAACTCAGGATCTACATGAGTCAGACAGTAATCGGATTTCTGCCTTACAACCAGCCAATAAACTCACAGAAGGAGACGTGATGTAAACTCAAACTTTATGCTGCGGCTTTTTTTAAAACATTGCGCCACTTTACCTGAAAATATGAACAGACATCATCTAGAAGATGAAGAATATTTAAATCCTTCATTTCGTTAAGCATATATTTGGTTTCAGCGTCGCTCCGAAAGTGTTTTGCTGTGTCTCGCGGCGACGCTGCTCGCTTATTTCCGGTATCGCCGTCTGTTTTCACACATGCTCAGACTGAGAAACCCGAAAGAAATCAGAGTAAGAGTTCACATGCACTGAGAAATCTGATTACTGAGCTAAAATCAATCAGATTTCTTAATTGCATTTCTAGACCTTACTCCGATCTAAGAAATCAGAGTGTGCTTTTTATTTGAATAATCAGATAACTGCAGAAATCTGATTATGATTAGGATTAGGATTATTGAGTGCATGTAAACACACTCAGTGTCATGGCAGGACAGATAGAAACAGTCCAAAACCACTTAGACTAAAATCTTCTTACATTAACTCGCATTGAAATTTATAATTTGTTTTTGCTTCTCCAGTAGTTACTTTTTCAGAGTTATGAGCTTTATTTAAATTAAACTGGTTGTGTATTATTATTATTATTATTATTATTATAACATGAATTCTCATTATTATTATTATTATTATTATTATTATTTGTGTCACACTGTGTTTGTCTCCTCTCCAGCTGGTGCATGATAAAGAGATCAACGCTGAGGATGAGCAGGTGTTTCTCATGAAGCAGCAGGTCTGTTTCCACATCATGAACAACAGTGTCCATCTCTCACAGCCCTGCACTGTCTGAGTAAAGACATTGTGTGTTGCTTTGTCAGTCAGACAGCATTGATTATACAGTGTTAATATTGATTATAATAATGTTATTTGGTACAAAGGCTAATTTTTTGGTCCCTGCATATATTTGTTGTTTAATTGGCTCAGTAATACTGATGAGTAGTACTTGGTTTGCTTTCTTAGCTTATTTATAACCACTTTAACCCTTTTACACCTAAAGAATTAAAAAGGAAATTGGTCACAGAATTTTATTCTGTTTGACAAAAAGAGTTCTATTTTGATGTCAGGTCATTTTATGCCACTGCCTATCCAACCAGTATGAAATGCTAATTTCATTCAGAAATCTTGTGTGTATCCAGTTAGTTGTATAAGTGTGTTTCTGTTTTTTATATACATATATAAAATATGTATGTGTGTGTGTGTGTGTGTGTGTATATATATATATATATATACATATATATATATATATATATATATATATATATATATATATATATATATATGAGACAGAGAAAAACATATGTGTATATTTATTTATTTATTTATTTGTTTATTTATTCCCTGCTCCTTCTAGTTTTAATAAGAGATTTTCTAATTGTACTTTTATCCTTTGGTCCAATTTTTTTTAATGACAAAATAAGTTTTGTGTTCATCTCAGTTTCTTACGAGAAATGATCACAGTATTGTTGTTACTGTTTGACCAGTTTTGATTTCTTTTTCCGATTAGTGCTCAGTGAGGCTCTAAGAGCCGCTGTAGTTTAAAAAAAGTAATAAATATAAATAAATGATTCCAGTATGGACCCAAATTGGTTAATATCATGTACTCGTTTAGTGTCTTTCTGTTAAAAGCTAAGCTTATTCTGCCACTTTTTCTTGGACTGGTTTAGTTTTTGTTTGTTTTACTTTAAATGTGAACTGAAGTGTGGTTATATCTCATTATATCCTTTTCTGTCGTGCAGTCGTTGTTAGCCAAGCAGCCAGCCACTCCAACAAGAGGAACGGTGAGTAAAACTTCTTGTTGTTTTAGTTTTAAATAGCTAATTGAGTTTCTGTACATTTATAAAATGTAAAATCAGTACAGTTCAGAACTTAAAGCATTAAAATCAAAGTGTAATTTTTAGGTTTGTGATCAAAGCTCAGCTTGAAATGGTACAATACATAAGTACAGATAAGAATACCTATACACATGAAGGTCTGATGACACATACTGTAAAAACTATTAAATTCAAAATTAAAGGACAAGTTCACTGATTTTTCAAAATTTCGGCATAATAGTGTAAAGATTTTTTAGCCTTTCTATTTATAATGTTTAAACTGTTAATTCTTCACCATATCCATGTGCAATACACGCAAATATTATTAGTTATTTTTTATATTTAGTGTTTTTTATATTTAGTGTTTTTTATATTGTCTATAAAGTTATAAGTAACAAACTGTAACCGTGTAAAGTAATAAACAAGTTAATTACCTTGTTTATTAATTCTCTTCCTGATACTATTTTGCTTGGTGCCTTGCTGTCCCTTTGCTGCTGTAGCACTGTGAATTTCCCTGTTGTGGCAATAATAAAGGATCATATCTTTTTAAGATTATCCACTATTTTACGTTTATCATCACATAAAAACAAACGAGGCATATGGAGGTTCACTGGTGGATTTTGGATAGTAAATTAGAAAATTTAGATTGTTTACATCTCAGCCAAAATATTTTTTTATATTAATTATATTTTAGCTCTTATTGCAGTAAACAAGTCTCGCTGCGTTTAACTACTAAATTGTTTAGCCCAAATCGTGGTTCTTCACTCTTAAACCTTTCCAGGGCGAACGAAATCATTTGAATACTGAAATGAATACTGAAATCATTTATCAGCCAAAGGTTATAAAATATATAGCGAGATGGATTTTTAACCGTATTGGCCAGCTCTGCTTTATGGAAATGGTTTGGTCAAATCTCTGACCTTATATATGAACTGTGTGTGCAGGAGTCTCCAGCGCGGACCGCGTCTGGATCCCCTCGGCCTACGGGACGCGCCGGACCTACAAACGTGGCGAGCGTGTCGCCCATGACGACAGTGAAGAAACCCGACCCCAACATGAAGGGTGAGCGTCCTTCCAGCTTTAAAGCGATAATTTCTACCTCACTCCTAATGTCAGTCAGCCAAGGCATGCTTGGTGCTTCTTTAGTTTTAGCACTGAAGCTACAAGACCAGTGTAGCTATCAGGTAACATAAACTTATAGCCAGTCGATTAGCATCAGTTTCTTAAATCATCACTCGCCTCAGACTGTGTGATGGTGAGTATCTCTAATAGTCTTGATTATGTGGTTTCTGACTCTGCATGACTCACTGTTATCTATAAACGTGCTAAATGCTACTATGTTCGCTATGCTAATATACTTTAGTCCATGTTTATAGATAACAGTGAGTCACACAGTGTCAGAAAACACATCATCAAGACTATTAGAGATACTGAACATCACACAGTCTGAGGCGTTTTAGGTGTTGCTAAGTCTTCTTATTTTTAGCTGTGTTATAGGTCTGTCACAGTCATGGAATTTTAGCTGATGATTGTTCATCAATAACTGGGATTGACAGTTTGTCTTCATCATATGCATGTATTAAAGTTGAAGCCAAAGGCCCAATCCCATTTCTCATCTTTACCCCTACTCCCTGTTCTTGAGTGTTGCCCCTTGGAACTGAGTTACAGGGTAGTGGTTGAATCTCCCCTCTGAAATGGGACCCTCAAATAAAAAGAGCATCACTTCATTAACAGCTACCAGCGCTGCTCTGTAGGCGACCCTGCCAGTCTGCAGTGACAGCAGAGGAGGGTAAAGTTCAGCTCCTCACTGCTGGGCTTTAGTTACATTTAGGGCATCATATGCCTTCAAAGAGGGGGGCAATTATTTATTATCACCCACCAATACTTCTTCAGTGATATGAAGCTCAGATATTCACCAGCTTATTGTTAGAATTTTCACCTTAAATGGTGCTGCAGTTTGGATGTCTGAGGTGCCAGAATGTAACTGCTGGACTGTATAAGGTGGAACGGGAAATTTAGCTAGCTAGATACCGAGACATCAGCACTACTATCGATTGTTGTGCTTGTTATGAAGAAAAGGACCAAAATACACTCGAACAACATTAAGCTAAGATAATACAGTAGTCATCATAATTTCTCACATTTGAGGGTTTCTTTGGTCGCTTGCTCAGCCATCTTGTCGCTTTTTTTCTATTTTTTCCCTTAGAACACTCTGTTTGGAGTGTTATTAAGGAAAATCCTCTGTTTGGAGAGCCCTGGAGCTCTAACACTTCGCCCTACCCCTCTATCGCATCAAGAATCAGGACACACTAACCCTAGATGTGAATACACAAATCAGAGGGCTAAGGGCTGAGTGGTGGGGCGAGGGGTGAAATAGGACTGAGCCTAATGTCCCAGTTGGCTTATTAGCCATCTGGCACCTTAGCTGTGTTTACTAGGAGGCCAAGGCCTGATTCACACATGCTTCCTCTGCATGTCGTGAGCGACGCGGAGCGGCTTTTCAATTCAGCGCTCATGTTAACAGGTTAGCACTTGCACACAGGCTGTGTGAGCGGAACGGCAGAGCGTCCGAGGGATTTTCGAGAATAGACCCAGTGCCGTTTTTTCCTGTGCACGTCACGCAGCAAATTGAAATAAGCCATGAAAATCAATGAAAATTAAACAGAAAACTGTGTAAAAACTTTAAAAACCCTAATTTTTACATTTAATTTAATTCATAATGAAATACTAGTTAAACATTCTGTGCTGCAGACAGATTTCCCAGTTGGGAAATCTGGCTTGGAAGGCTTTTGCCTAATCACAGTCAGAACGCTGCCGAGGATAAACAAATATATCGTGTGCTTTATAAATTATACGGGGTGATTCAAAAAGTTTCATCTGATTTCAAAATGATTTATTTCACTTGTACATCGTTACAGATCAATGCAGTGAACTGTAAATGGTTTAAATGAGCATAAAGTTTATGTAGTTTTATAAGTGCTCAATATGAACCTCCTCCTGCTGTACAGACAACATCAACGCCATAGTCAAACTCATCCCATACTGGATTGAGCGTGTCGGGTGTCGCTGCACTCACGGCTCTTTCAGTGCGATTTCGGAGATCATCCAGTGTTGTGGAACCAACGTCGAACGCTCTGAGCTGCTGGAGCTTCACTGCCCACGAAAATCACACTGCACAGTTATGACGGATTCACTCTTATTGAAGTGGAGAAAGCAGAACGCTTTCTGCTCAGGGGTCTCATCTCCTCTCAGACTGAAGGGGAGCCATCTTCCACTGACAGTCGGAAACTCTATGACCCCCTCTTTCAATTGGATTGTGATTGGTTCCTAGACACCTCACGGTTGTAAAAATATGGCGCTTTGAAATCAGATGAATCTTTTTAAATCACCCTGTATTTATTGACTGTCATCATCAATACGTCTGGAAAAATGAGGCCCAGTCCCATTTCACCCCTCGCCCCTACCACTGAGCCCTTAGCCCTCTGTTTTGCGTGTTCTCGTCTAGATGTAGGGTGTCCTGATTCTTGTTGAGATAGAGGGGGAGGGTGAAGTGCTGGGGCTACATGACCCTCCAAATGGAGGTTTTTCCAGAGACTCCAAACAGAGAGTTATGAGAAAAAAAGAAAAACCGGCAAGATGGGGAACAAGAGACCAAAGAAACACACAAATGTGAGAATTTTCTCCGTTTAAAAAATAGGATAACCACTGTTTTATCTTAGTTTAATGTCGTTTCAGTGTATTTTGGTCATTTTCTTCATAACAAGCATAAAAATCGCTAATAGCATGCTAATGTCTCGGTAGCTAGCTAGCTAATTTTCCCGTTCCACCTTAAATAGTCCAGCAGTTCAGACGTCTGAAGTGCCAGAATGTAACTGCTGCTCCATTTAAGGTGGAACGGAAAAATTCTAACAAGAATCTGGTGAATATCTGAGCTTCATATCACTGAAGAAGTATTGGTGGGTGATAATAAATAATTGCCCCCCTCTTTGAAGATCATATGATGCCCTAAATGTAACTAAAGCCCAGCAGTGAGGAGCTGAACTTTACCCTCCTCTGCTGTCACTGCAGACTGGCAGGGTCGCCTACAGAGCAGCGCTGGTAGCTGTTAATGAAGTGATGCTCTTTGGGGTATTTTGGGTCCCCTTTCGTAGGGCAAGATTTCAACCACTACCCTGTAACTCAGTTCCAAGGGGTTAGGGTGACACTCGAAAACAAGAGGCAGGGGTAAAAAGAAGAAATGGGACTGGGCCTTAATGTCTGTGGAACTTCCTCGCTGCTCCGCTCCGCAGCACAAATGCTGTATGTATGAAAGTCCAGCTCATTCAAGCTGTAGTGCTCACGCCGCCGCATCGCTCAGCCACGCAGAGGAAGCATGTGTGAATCAGGCGTAACACTATCGAACTGATTCACTACACTGTTGGATACACACACACACACACACACCTCAGGCAATTATGTAATAATTGTGATGCACCTGCTGCATTAGCCTCGATCTCCAGTGCTGATGGATGGAGACTTCTGGGTTATTTTCCACTTCAGGTGGAGATGCTGTGTTCTTTTATTTCTCCCTTAATTTCACTGCGAACACTGCCATCATGAGGGGGCTCTGAATATTATTCCCTAAATTCCTGGAGGTCTCAGTTGGTCTGCCTGGCCAGAAATATTGACATTTTCTCCGTTGTTAAGCTCAGCAGGAGAGCGTGCCGCATACCAGCAGGAATGAGGCGCTTTATAAATTAAATCAACTTTAATTGAAAGTTTTGCGCTCTATTCACACAGCTGGCTGGTTCTCACTTTGCTGGTTTTTGGCACAGATAAATGAACACAGTCCAAAACAGTGTGGTGAAACATGAAGGCTTTTCTGGGTCATTTTTGAGTTGTTTTTCTGCTTTACCCTCCTTGAGTGCTTTTACACCTAAAGCAGGGAGCCAAAACTTGTTGTCAAGGGCAGCAATGCACAATAAGAATCTGTTACTATATTATATTGTGTTTTGTTCTTAAAAGTAAATAAGAATTTATAGAAAGAAATATCAATACATATTTTTACTGTTCAAAGAAAAACATTATGATTTTATCACAAGCTATTTTGGAGCATTTCTATTGGTCCATTCATCATGTAAAGGACATCAAATGATGTAGAAAAGTAAACCAAAAAAAGAGCCATATCGCCCTCTACACTTCCTGTAGTGTATTACAGTCTGTCAGAATGACTGTGGGGATCATATGAACATTATAGAGCTTTTTAAATGAAACAGTAGAAGCCATATCGCCCCCTACACTTCCTGTAGTGTATTACAGTCTGTCAGAATGACTGTGTGGATCATATGAACATTATAGAGCATTATAGAGAAGCATGATGATATCCGTGTCAATATTGGCAGATATTTGATGTAAAAAAATGAATAACTATCCTACAGATGATTAGATTTGACTGATACTTCAGACAAATATATGATGTGTTTATTGAACTTCAGAAGAGCAGAATATTTATGTGCTGCTGGGTTACTGCACTAAAATATCTGCATTTCATTTATTTTATTCATTTTACTGCATTTGTAACTACAGAAGTAATGCTTTATTTCTCTGTAATGCTAATTCAGGTAGATGTAATCCCAATTTATACATTTACAAATGTTTTTGTATCAGTATTGGTGATGTGGCGTCCACAAATCCCATATTGGTGCATCCCTGTAGAGCCTTTTTGTTCTATATGTAAAAATGGACGTTTAATACAGTAAATGACTACATGCAGAAGGTGTAAACATAAATTTTATCCATCGTCTTGTTGATTAAATGGGAATTTCCACCAATTTTTCAGTGTGTGAGATGTAAACAGAGTGATTCAGAGTGGTTTGGTGTGAAATGGTTCAGATGTCTTTACAGTGGTGGTGATAGGAAACAGGGGTCGCCATGACTACAACACAAATATAGACATTTTATTTACTATCCAGAACCACCAGTGAACCTACACGAGTCTTCTGAGCTTATATGGGATGTTGATGATGGAAAATAGTGGAAAATCTGAAATAATAAGTTTTCTTTGGGGACTATTTTGCCTCACAACACCCTGCATATATCCCTCCACCATGAATGGAGTTTACAAAATGTGTTTTAGATTTAAATTCTTCTCAAAACAGCCGTAAAACAGTGTCTCAGACCTCAGGCAGAGTCTGTTTTCTCTAGAACAGAGCATTTCACACAAAACCACTCTGAATGACTTTGTTTACATCTTAAACTTTTAACCTTGGGGAAATTTTGAAAATGTAACTGTGTGTCTGTTGTGTGTTGTGTGTTCCAGGTGCTGCTGCGAACGAGGGCGTTTTGGCAAACTTCTTCAACAGTCTGCTGAGTAAAAAGACGGGCTCGCCAGGGAGCCCCGGGGCCGCAGGGGCCACAGTGCAGGGGTCTGCAAAGAAAACAGGTAAATAACCTTCACTAACCTGTCTAACCTGCACAGAGTCTGCCTGAATACGCTGCTGTTACCTTTGGAAAACACTGTTGTGTGGAGGTTTACCTGTAGAGTCGGAGAGCACGTCAGGCCGGGACTATCGAAGAGACGCTGAAGCAGCCGGTGACGTCTCGCCCTCGCTGGTTTAACTCTTAAACGACGTGACTCCTGTTTCACGTCACTGCATAGTTATTTTATCATCTAATGCATGATTTGATCTGTCCAGGCTTTGACCACATATGGGTTCTTTCATAGGTGCTGCTGTGAGGTTAGGCAAACTTTAGAGTGCTGGTGAAAATCCCATCAAACCTAAAGAGAAACTGTAGAACAGACTCAGTTTATATCACAATACCTACATTTAGAGTCGGTTATTCATTCAGCCTAATGAGAAACTGTAGAACAGACTCAGTATATATCACAATACCTACATTTAGAGCCGGTTATTCATTCAGCCTAATGAGAAACTGCAAAACAGACTCAGTTTATATCACAATACCTACATTTAGAGCCGGTTATTCATTCAGCCTAATGAGAAACTGTAGAACAGACTCAGTTTATATCACAATACCTACATTTAGAGTCGGTTATTCATTCAGCCTAATGAGAAACTGTAGAACAGACTCAGTTTATATCACAATACCTACATTTAGAGCCGGTTATTCATTCGGCCTAATGAGAAACTGTAGAACAGACTCAGTTTATATCACAATACCTACATTTAGAGTCGGTTATTCATTCAGCCTAATGAGAAACTGTAGAACAGAATCAGTTTATATCACAATACCTACATTTAGAGCCGGTTATTCATTCGGCCTAATAAGAAACTGTAGGACAGATTATAGTTTATATCTAACATAACTGTCTCTAAATGTAGGTATTGTGATATGAACTGTCTGTTCTACAGTTCCTCACTAGGTTTAATGGGATTTTTAATAGCGCTCTGTAAAGTTTGTCCAACCTCACAGCAGCACCTATGAAAGAACGTATTTGTGGGCGGAGCCTGTACAGGTTAATGCTCTGTCACTCTTCATCCACATTAAGTCCTAAAAGCTGACCTCACTGCTGTCCTCCTCTCACTGATGTCATGGCCTTGGCGTCTAAACCTCTCTGCTGTGGATGAAAAGAGGAAGTGCATGCAGCCGTTGTTTCCTCACTCGTTCGCCCTCATGATTAGTTTTGCATGTGTGCAGCCGCCGTCATGTTTCTGCTGTCGCAGCATTCCAGCACTGAAACGCAGCCCAGACCTCCATAAACCTCCTCAGACCTCCTCAAACCTCCACTCTCTCGGGACTCGTACAGCAACAAATCCACCAAAAAAAGCTGTTTTTTTAGACATACCCCTCCTCGAGGTAGAACAAAGCAGAGCTTGTTCTACATTACTTTGATGTTCAGACTTTTGTGCCATTAAAATAACGAGTTTCCTGTTTAATTTCCACCCTCAGCACATTTTTTTAAGGGTCTCTGTATCAAAAATGTGCAATGATATTGATGTTATCTTTGCTTTATGATACACAGTATAGCAAAATCTTTTATAAAGTTAGTTATATTCTGATTTTTATGTTGAGATAAATTGCTAAAATATGCAGATGCTCCCTTCAGTCCTAAATTTGCATATTTTATGTTTTGTAGTCCAAATAATAATCAATTCCAATCAGTAAAACTTTTGCAAAATGTGTTTATGCAACAGTCCCCTTTTTAAAAAACAGACATGCATGGATTTCAACATGATGCATTTCAAAGCACAGTTACTGTTTATTTACTGAAATTAAGATATTGGTTACTGTGTTCAAACCAGCAAATAAATTGTGCGCTAAAATTTGCAGGAAAACAAAAATTCACTTAAATCAACAAAATGTCATTTGAGTGGAGGTGTTAAAATTTTTGCATATGACTATTTAATATCGTAAATGCTTTCTCAATATTTTCTGCACTTTATTTAAAAAATGACATTTTGTATAGTATGCATATTTAAAAAAAGTCAGTTAAATTTTTTTAATTTTAACTTTAAATAAATGTTTGTAATAGAAATTGTGCACTAAAACTTGCAGAAAATAAATTTCTTAAATCAACCAAATGTGAAAAAAAAGATGTTAGTTTTTGCATATAACAGTATTTAATATTGAAAATGCTTTCTAAATGTTTTCTGAAGTTTATTTTAAAAGTAAAATATTTTTATATCGTATGCATGTTTAAAAAAATATATTTTTCTAGTAAAATTGTAGTCTAAAAATTTTATTATTTTCAACTAAATCACAAACTTTAATTTGATTTATTTATTTATTTATTATACCTCAGGGAGAGGGGGTGTGTCCACTGTCAGGTTATTTTTGTTGCTGTACTGGGCCCTCAGTGTTGGATATGTGAGCGCAGACGCTACAGGAGATTACTCTGTTTTCTCTCTCTCTGTTTTTTCTCCAAGGGCAGAAGCCGGCTTTGACTGACGTCCAGGCGGAGCTGGACCGAATGACACAGAAACCGGACTCCACGCTAAAGGCCAACAACAGCACCCCCGCCGCGGAGAACGAGGCGTGAGCTCCTCCGAGAATAAACAACATCAAAACACTCTGGAAAAACAAAACCATGATTATAGAACATAAAGAAAACTGTAATGACCAAAATCCGCCCCCCCCACTCGTTCAGTACGCTGGGATGACATCAGGTGTTTGGGGGCGGGGCAAAGAGAGATCTGAATACTACATTTGTTTATTTCCAAACATTTTTTGTGGTCATGTTTTTTGTCGAGGCAGGCGTGGCAGGTTAAAACGATGCATGTACACACAAGTTGATACCCCCCCCATCTTCATCATCCTCCTCCTCCTCATCCTCCCAGCAAACATACTGAGACATGCTGCTGTTTCTTGTTCTGCTTTACCTATTGGAGGATCGCAGTGGCTTCAGGTGATTTAAAAAAAGAAAAAAAAACAAAAAAAGGCGAAATATATTCAATTCAGAATTAAATTCTTGCAGAAAGTATGTAGTATGTAAAGACGTAGATGCGATATTGATGTATTTATATGAAAACAAAGCTTCGAAGAAGAAGTATTTACTCGGTTTTCATCCATCAGACGTTTAGCTTCTTCGCTAACGTGCTAACTCCACCACTGACGTCATGACACTAAACGACCGATTTAAAAGGAAAAAAAATGTAAAAAAAAATAATAATAGTTAAATGAATACGTTAAAAAAAAAACCTGCTGGCCTTTAAAGCGCGGACGGGATCGGCACACGCTCGCCGCCTCAACGGATTCTGTAAATATGCACAAAGAGTTTGCTATACGAGCTTTAGTTCGGTTTTTTTGTATAAAAGTCAGTTATTTTAACAAATTATGAAGAAATTTTTCTGATGAGACGAAAGTATTGGCAGGTGTCGGAGCGCAGAGCTTTTTCGCTTTTCGTTTTTGTGGCTACAGTTGTTTTTGGGAGAAAAGGGGCGGGGCAGCATTTTTCCTGAAAAATAAAATTTAAAAAAAATTATCCGAAAACTCCCAAGTGCCTGGCACAGCCGGCGTCTGTGTCTCCAGAAGAGGAATTGCACTGTAGCACCAACGGTCAAAGGTTTCGGTCCTTTTTTTTTATCTTTTTATTTTTTTTTTCTGTCTTCATTTTTTTTTTTTCTTCAGTTTTGTTTTCTGTTGTATCGCCTTTTTTTTTGCCAGGCTTTTAGTATTTATTTAGTTTATTTTATTTAATTTTGTAATTTTGCTGTCTCTTTATTTTTTTTTCCAAATTTGTCCTGTTTCAGGTATTTATTTTATTTAGTTTTGTTTTTCTACAGATCTGTGGTATGCTATTGCTCTTGCTTATTTCTCCTGACCTTTTGCTTACATTGTGGCCTAGATAATTCAGCCGAGCAATAGGGAAGCACGCCTTTTCTTTTCTATATATAAATATATATGTATAAAAAGCTTGTTTTTGCATACCTGTGTCTGAAATTGACCTAGATGGCCCAGACCACTAATACTGCCCCCCGCACACCCCCAGTATATCTCATCTACCCCCCACACCCCCCAGTATATCTCGTCTACGTTACCTGTACCAGTCAGAATGGTTCTAATGAAACGAATGTTTCTCTAAAGTCACTTTGTTTTGTTTTGTCGGACGGTCTTGCAGTGTAAAACATTCCTGAAATGTACACAGTGAAGCTGTAGAGAAACGTCCCTCAAGGAAAATGCGTTATTCGACCCGCCTCAGTGCCCAGCGCCGCTCTGCCTTCAGTGTAGCAGCCCTACATCAGCCTGTGCTAGCCTTCACGCTAATAGCTATAGTCACTTTTCCCTTTTTGCTACTGTTATCTCCTCTGATACTGTATCATATCCAATTAATTCATGTAAATTCAAGAAATTCTTTTTTTTTTGGAGTTTTTGTGAGAATAGGCAGAACAAATTTAGAAAATTTAGCAACGTATTGATTTTTTTCGATGAATCAGCCGAAGACGTGACTTAATCCTGTGGTTGTTTTTTTTCTCTAATTCAGTTTTACCATCCTTGACGAGTGTTAGAGAGTAAAAAAAGAAAAAAAAAAGATGTTAAACGGAGCAGCTAAAGCGGCTTCTGGACGACGGCGGCCGCTTCAGGAAACAAAACAAAAAAAAAAAGGAAAATGCAGATTTGGAACCTGGAACCAAAGAACCCATATGTTGTGAGTGAGTGCGTTTGTATGGAGTCGCGTCCTAAATCGTGTTCCGGGTCAGCGAACCTGGAGAAGCCATTCATTCCAAAACTCTTCCTCTGCCCGCTGAGGTGGTCTGTATTCGCTCTGATTGAATGTTTTGGTGGTAGAGCTGCACCGTACACACAACACACCAGCATTACCATTACACTGAATATGATCTGTGAAAGGGGAACTCCACCAGTTTCTCAAAATTCATCTGTAATCCAGTTTGAGGGGTAATCAGAGAGATTCAGAGTGGTTTGGTGTGAAATGGTTCAGATGTATTTACAGGGGTGGTGGTGATGGGAACCAGGTTTCGCCATGACTACAACACAAATATATCTCCGCTGCATCTTTAAAATAGTAACTTTTAAGGAAAAAAACATTGTTAACTTGTGATGGAAGTTAATGCAGCAAGTAATTTTGGATCATTTCTGTAAGTCTGTTCATCATGACATTTCAACACAATGCAAAGGGCTGTTGGGGTTTTCAAATTATGCAAAAAAAATGAAAAACAACAAGGCTGCAAGGTTTTTACATGAGAGCGACAATATGCAATGTTGATGATGGTAAAATAGTGATAAGTTTAAAAAAATAACAAAAAAAAAAAAACGAAACCCTGCTGGCCATTCTTGCCCACGCTGGCCGCATCAACGGACCCTGTGAATACACAAAGAGTTTTTCTGTATAAAAGTCAGTTATTTTAACAAATTATGAAGAAATTTTTCTGGTGAGATGAAAGTATTAGCAGGTGTCAGAGCGCAGAGCTTTTTCGCTTTTCGTTTTTGTGGCTGCAGTTGTTTTTGGGAGAACCCTAGCCCTGCCTAATCAATTTTAGGCCCAAAAAAAGAATAAAACAGTGTCTCAGTCATCAGGCAGTGAATTCATAACCATTTCATGTAGGAACTTTCTGTGAGGGAGCTTTTAGAGGTGGACGTCTGGTTCCTATCACCACCACTGTGAACAGTGCTGACTCGGTAAGTTTATCTAGAACAGAGCGTTTCACACCAAACCACTCTGAACCACTTATTTATGCAGGAATTTTAAAAATTGGTGGAATTCCCCTTTAAGGACTCTTTGGTGAATTAATGTGTCACAATTGAGAATCTGCATTGTTTTAACCAAAATAAAATAATGTGATTGGTTGGGATGCTCACAGCACACTGTGATTGGCTAGGGGGCTCATGCTCATTTGCATATTACAAATGCCAATATTATGATAAGAATTGACAAAATATTGTGCAGCCCTACTTGATGGTTTGATCTTTTTGGTTTTTTTTTTGCTTTTTTTCAGTTCTTTAAGGGAAAAGACCACACGGTGTGCAGAGTCTACTTTTTTTTTTAATGAACTGTATTAATTGTATAGAAAGAGTCTCATACCAACCAAACGGAGGAACTCATTTGCATACTGAATCTACATATGATGCATATGAATTAGCGTCTTTGTTGGGCAGGGCTAAGCATTCGCTGATAGTCAAGCACAATATTGTCAATATCGTCGGTAAGTCTGGACTATTTACCCCCGGTTTTAGTAATTAAGCACTTCCATCATTAAAGCTCTGTAATAATCTTCTCACCGTCACCTGTTATAATCCATTCACTCTGCTCGGAGAGCGAGTTTCACTCACGTTTACCTGAAATGCACTTAAGTATCCTCACATGCGTTCTTCACATTCGCTCCGTCTGCAGATCTTTCTTGAAATCTTTGAGTAATTGTGGGATTAAAGCGAGACTTGGCGTTCTTGAAGCTGTTTTATTGGACTGTTATGCCCATTTATTTGCTAAATTTCCTTTTTTTATAAATCTAAAATTTAAAGCAAACAAACCGCGCACCAAAACCGCCACGCTGGCTCCGCGCTTGAAGCTTCTTCAAAGCTTCTACAGCGTCATTTGCTGGACACGTCTGCTCTCCCTGTGGAGATAAAGCAACATCAGATGAAAGAGTCCAAATCTGTCCACCAAAAAAAGCAATATTTTTGTCTTGGACATCTAAGGAAGCGATTCGATTTGCACTTTGTTTGGGTTTCAGTGGTAGATGCAGAACAGTTATGATGAACAGATTTTTTTTTTTTTTTTGTAGATATTTTACTCAGCCTTAGCTAAAACTTGACAGCTGCGCTTAAAAACCCCTAAAATACGCACTTCCCCTGTTTATAAGGAGGCAGAAGTTCCAGTAAGCTTCTGCTCTCAGCCCTGTGTGGAGTTTCATGACACTTTCCATGTGAAAAAGGCCTGTTTGTGCACATATTCACCTCAGTCTGACTGTATGGCTTTAACCTGATGCAGTAAATGCGATTGTGTGGAATCTCGCTTTTAGTGCCGGCAGAGAAATAAAGAAAACATGTCTTTTTTCAGACTTGGCTTCAATAAAACACAAATCCAGACTCCATCCATCATTTTGTCCTCTTTTTTTTACCCAGTCAGTGACTATTTACATGGTTGTTATTGTTCCTCCAGTTATTTTGGACTTGGAATGGCTGTGAGGCCTTGAACTCTCCATTAGAGGGCAGCGCTGCGTCCTGCGCATTCACTCAGTTCCAGGAACACAAATAAAATGTTGATGGATTTGTGTCTTCCTGAGTAATTGTAAAGTAATTTTGACTTCTAAGCAAGTACATTAGGGAGTAAAGTATTCAGATTTTCTTGAATTACTCAGGATTTAATTTCATTCAGCTCCTGTTCTGCTTTACTCTTGGTCACTCATCTCATTTTGGAGCTTTAGTGGTTTATTTTGGACCAAAAAGGGACCTTGAATTTTTCCATTCCACCTTAAATGGCCAATTTTGGCCAATTTTGCTATAAACATGTCATAGCACATGCCATATGCTGTCATAACTGATTATGTTTAGTAATATAACGGTATCATGTTACAGATACTATTAATTGTACCAATTAAATGCCATTAACTAAGACTATTCCCAGTAAAATATGATAATTGCCATGATGACTAATTAGAGAACGCAGCAAAATAGCAGCATGTGGTCTAAGCTAACATTATAATATTTGGCATGACAGTTAATGATAACATGATTTTCTTACGCCGATCAGGCATAACATTATGACCACCTCCTTGTTTCTACGCTCATTGTCCATTTTATCAGTTCCACTTACTATATAGTTTCACTTTGTAGTTCTACAGTTACAGACTGTAGTCCATCTGTTTCTCTGATACTTTGTTAGCCCCCTTTTACCCTGTTCTTCAGTGGTCAGGACCCCCATGGACCCTCACAGAGCAGGTAGTATTTGGGTGGTGGATCATTCTCAGCACTGCAGTAACACTGACGTGGTGGTGGTGTGTTAGTGTGTGTTGTGCTGGTCTGAGTGGATCAGACACAGCAGTGCTGCAGTGTCGCTGCTGGACTGAGAATAGTCCACCAACCAAAAATATCCAGCCAACAGCGTCCTGTGGGCAGCGTCCTGTGACCACTGATGAAGGACTAGAGGATGACCAACACAAGCTGTGCACAACACACACTAACACACCACGTCAGTGTTGCTGCACTGCTGCGAATGATCCACCACCCAAATAGTACCTGCTCTGTGAGGGTCCATGGGGTCCTGACCACTGAAGAACAGGGTAAAAGGGGGCTAACAAAGTATCAGAGAAACAGATGGACTACAGTCTGTAACTGTAGAACTACAAAGTGAAACTATATAGTAAGTGGAGCTGATAAAATGGACAATGAGCGTAGAAACAAGGAGGTGGTCATAATGTTATGCCTGATTGGTGTATATTACCGAACAAAATTTCTCATGACAACACATGAGATCTGCTATGACATGTTTATGGCATGGTTATGTCGCTGTTATGCAGTAGCGTTCAGCGAACAGTTGCCAAGTTTATCGCTGTGTTACTGAATTGTCTCTTCCCACAGTTTTCGAGATAAGGACACTTCCAACTCCAGAATGTTTGGTCTGGTCAGAAATTGTGTGCTTGTATATAGCTTTTTGATCAGATGCACAGTTTTCAAGAATAAGTGGGGGGGGGCAACCATTTATGCACCATTTATATCTCAATGATACACGTCCATTGGCAACACCTAACAACCACCTGGGATAACATAGCAACCACCTAGCAACCATGAAGAAACAGCTTTACAACTACTTGGAATACCATGGCAATTGCCTAGCAGCCACCTGGGATACCATAGCAACTGCCTAGTAACACCTTAGCTAGCTTCAGCTGCGCCTTCGCTGCACTTTTCTAGTTATTATTTTTCTAGGGGAATTTTGTCCACCAAGTCGTCCTGCAGTTTTCAAGATATTAACACCGTTCCAAGTCCGGAATGTTTGGCATGATTAGGAATGGTCAGCTTGTGTCCAGCATTTGACCAGGTGTATGGTTTTCATATAATGATTTTAAAAATCAGGTTTTTTTTAAATTTCTCTCAAAGGAAATGTATGCAGGAACTGCAATCACATCAAACACCCTAGCAACCACCTGGGACGCCACTGCAATCAGAAAAACACCATAGTAACCACTTGGGACACCACTGCAATTACACAAAACAGATAACAACTTTGTTATCTTGGGACTTAATTATCTTGTGATCCTAAGATAGCAAAGTTTTCTCGAGATCATGACTTAATTATCTTTTGATCTCGAGATAACAATGCAGAAATTTTGACAACCTCTCCGGACTTCCTTAATTTTCCCCTTTTTGCACTGTAAGTTTTGTCAACACAGTGAAAGAGAAAGGGCTGCAGCACTCAGAGCTCCGAGCCGACTCTTATTATTATTATCGACTCGTTTTGATTTAATTTCCTAATATATTTATTTTTAGGTTCTGCATTTTATTTGTATTCCCAGTTTTTCTTTGGGACTTTTAACTTCTGTGTTTTTGTTCTCGGGGATGATGGGCGGAGCCTGAAGAGCTCAGCAGCTCAGAGTTAAAGCAGTGGGAATGTAGTGGGATGTAGTGTAATGTAGTGGGATGTAGTGTTTGTGAGGAAGGTCCGTCATGCTGAAGGCCGCTTGTCCATCCTCGCAGTGTTTTCCGCTCCGTGCATGAACGCAGCGCGAGCAGACGGAGCCTCATGAGCCGTTTGGAGAAGATGGAGTTCGGAGTTTGGAGCCGAGCGGCAGCCGCAGGTCAGCAGTGAGTGATTCCAAGTTGAGCTGCGGTGCTGCTGCTCCCTCAGTCCGGCGGAGGAGCCGCTGCTGCTGCTGGACTTCCTGCCGTCCTGCTTTATTACTTCGCTATTTCGGCCTGTTTCGGAGCCCCGCTGTTCCTGCAGGATGAGGAGCTCGGAGGAGCCGGAGGTGTTTGATGGAGAGGCCTCCAGCGCCTCCATGATGAGCGGCGCCACCAGCCCTTACCAGCCGACCACAGAGCCCGTCCAGGCGGCCAGAGGGGTCAGGGGCGTCCGCTGGGACACGGAGTACCTCCGCTCCTCTTTCGGCATCCTGAAAGCGCTGGAAGTGGTGAGATTATATTATGTTAGAGTTTATATCCGGGCACTGACAGTGGAGGGTTACTGTGGGGGCAGAATAACAGAATAAAACTAAGTTAAGACTCTATTAATCTCCAAAGGGAGATCAGTGTTCCAGCAGCACATATACAAGAATACACAAGAGTGAAAAACTATTCAGTACTAATATATATATATATATATATACAAACATACACCGGTCAATATACCTTACTATATAGGTGCACTTTGTAGTTCTACAGTTACAGACTGTAGTCCATCTGTTTCTCTGATACTTTGTTAGCCCCCTTTTACCCTGTTCTTCAGTGGTCAGGACCCCCATGGACCCTCACAGAGCAGGTAGTATTTGGGTGGTGGATCATTCTCAGCACTGCAGTAACACTGACGTGGTGGTGGTGTGTTAGTGTGTGTTGTGCTGGTCTGAGTAGATCAGACACAGCAGTGCTGCTGGAGTTTTTAAACACTGTGTCCACTCACTGTCCACTCTGTTAGACACTCCCACCTTGTCAGTCCACCTTGTAGATGTAGTCAGAGATGATAGCTCATCTGCTGCTGCACAGTTTGGGTCCTGACCGCTGAAGAACAGGGTAAAAGGGGGCTAACAAAGTATCAGAGAAACAGATGGACTACAGTCTGTAACTGTAGAACTACAAAGTGCACCTATATAGTAAGTGGAGCTGATAAACTGGACAATGAGCATAGAAACAAGGAGGTGGTCATAATGTTATGCCTGATCAGTGTGTGTATGTGTATATATATATGTGTGTATATGTGTATACATATACACCCACATATACAGGGCTGTAACTAGGATGAAAATGTTAGTGAGGTCCATTATGCAGTATTACACCGACCATAAGTTTCCCTTTTAGGTTTTTTTTTTTTTGGCTAATCAGTGCTCCTTTTTTCACCCATCCGTAACTGTCATGCACCTTTACCTTTCATTTGTTCCTTGCCCATCCCTCCATTCTTCTTAAACTGCTATTACACTTCCGTAAACTGATTTGACTCCAGTTGCCTTGTTGAAGTGTATTTAATTAACCATTTCACTGTTTATTTATGTTTATTTTCAGCTGAAAATACGTGTTGAAACCTAAATCAAATGATAGTTTCAAACTGATTTTATTTCATTTACGTCTCTCTCTCTCTATCTGTGTATCTATGTGTCTTTGCTTGACTCATTTGCATTTCTGTTTTATTACTGTAAAAGCACACATTATAACATGTTATAAAGGCTGTCTGTACTAAACCCCTGCTAACGGGACATATAGCTACTCATACAGCTAATAAGACAAAATAGAGCCTAAAGTACCTGCTGATTTGTACCAGCTGTATTTTGTTTTTGAGTTTTTGACATAATTTAAAAATGCCTGTTGCTCTTTACATTGTGTGTAAATTTCATGAAGAATGGACTAAAAGAAACGACCCAGAATGACCTGGAAAAAAGTCTGGTTCCATTGACTTACATTAAAAGTAAAGTAGGTTTTTTCCTTCTCCTGTAAAGTTACCATTTTGGAGATACAAGGTTTTGTTCAGACAACAGCAATATATATATATATATATATATATATATATATATATATATATGTATGTGTGTGTGTGTGTGTGTGTGCCCTGCTGAAAATTAGAACCTTTACACTGTAAAAATGATCACTTATAATAGTAAGTTAGCAGGACAGTAATCTGTGTTTTACATTCTGTTAACTTATTTGAAGTTTAGTGAACTCAGAACTTTAAGGCCACCAGGTTCCTCACTTTTTAAGATAAAGCCCTTTTTTTCACAGCGTATGATTAAAGCCCTAATGCTTTTCGCTTCTTAATGGGATGTGGCTTAATGATTCGGATCCCATCGAATGCGTCTAGAACCCGTCACAGGTCACCTGTTAAACCATCAGGATCCTTTATACTGTGACACCAACCCTTTAAGAAAAGGCTAAACACAATACGAAACCACGAGGAACCAACAAAAACACCTGATGGTTTCTGTAGTTTTTTCCAGCAAGGCTTACATGCAGCTATACATCTACTACAACTACTACAACTGTAGCTCTGCTAGGGTGCAGAAAGTACAGTATGGGTGTTACTCATATTAATATGTATATAAACTGTTGGGGGTGACAGTTACAGTGTTAATAACAGGTGAGGTGGTTTACGGTTGCAGTGTTGTTGACCGCGAGTTTGTGTCGGTGTTCAGGCTGTTAAATGGGATGAAAACAGTCACTTTTACCTCTGTTAGAGGTGATATGGCAGAAATATAACATCACAGTGCTTAAAGAAATAACCTGACAGACAGGAGGAGAGCTGAGGGGCGTCTCTGTTGGACGGTGCTTTTGGATTAACATATCCAGCTAAGAGAGAAATCCTGCTCAGTGCACTGAGAAATAGATCCAGACTCCAGACAGGGATTAAACCATGCTTAACCCCATGAACCTTAATCTTAATACTAATTTACTAATCTCAACACTTATTACTTCTTTTTTACCCCAAACTATTCTTTATATACTACAAACAAGTATTAAGACTTATTACTCCATCAATACTGTCAACAATTCAGTATCTACTATGAATTACTCAGAATCTACAATAAATTACTCAGTAACTACTATGAATTATTCAGTATCTACTCTAAATTATTCAGTATCTACTCTAAATTATTTAGTATCTACTATGAATTATTCAGTATCTACTCTAAATTATTCAGTATCTACTCTGAATTATTCAGTATCTACTATGACTTATTCAGTATCTACTCTGAATTATTCAGCGTCTACTCTAAATTATTCAGTATCTACTATAAATGATTCAGTATCTACTATGAATTATTCAGTGTCTACTATGAATTATTCAGTATCTACTCTAAATTATTCAGTATCTACTATGAATTATTCAGTATCTACTCTAAATTATTCAGTATCTACTATGAATTGTTCAGTATCTACTCTAAATTATTCAGTATCTCCTCTGAATTATTCAGTATCTACTATGACTTATTCAGTATCTACTCTGAATTATTCAGCGTCTACTCTGAATTATTCAGTATCAATTATTAATTATTCAGTATCTACTATGAATGTCTTAGTATCTGCTATAGTATCTGTTAAGAATTATTCAGTAGTAGTGTCTGCTATAGTAAGTGAGGAGCTGTGGCTTGAACCCACATACCGGCCCTTAGAGGTTACACTTATCTGGCTAACTAGTGAAATATTTCCCAGGTGAGAGTTTTCACACCTGTGTTCTGTGGCTGCTTTATTTTCTCTCTTTTCCCAACACGGGAGATCGTCCTCTCCATACTTTATATACGTCCTTTCATAGCAACAGAATCAGTTTATATCACAATACCTACATTTAGAGTCAGTTATTCATTCAGCCTAATGAGAAACTGTAGAACAGACTCAGTTTATATCACAATACCTACATTTAGAGTCAGTTATTCATTCAGTCTAATGAGAAACTGTAGAACAGACTCAGTTTATATCACAATACCTACATTTAGAGTCAGTTATTCAGGTGCAGTAATGTGTTGGTTGTGTTGTGTTGCAGATATGATTCTTTTCACTGTTGGTGTGTTTGACCTCTACTAAAGCAGTGAGTGTCCTCCATGAACTGCGAGTGAAATCGGGATTTGGCTGTGTGCCGACTGTGTGTGGAATGCAGGCGAGGAAAATAAAAGAGCAGCTGAATTCAAGTGAATTAGTTTCAGAAGACAAAGCTCATCAGGTTATTTGTGTATGTGTTTTTCTAGGGCTAACATTAATTGATTTAACTTGATTAAGACAAATTACTGATTAAAGTTTACCTTATCAGTGATTCAGCAGTGATTAGCTGAATGTTTGCATGATGATAATGTTTAAATTAGATTTTTTAAATGAAAAAATGAAATCTAAACTAAACCACTAAAGCTCAAATTATAAAAATGTGTAAAATATGAGTTTATTAAACATTTGAATCCAGTTTGACTTTTAAAAGAAAATGTCAAAAATACAAATTGAACTAATTATTCAATTAATTGTCAAAAAAGTGGGTAAATTACACAATTAATCATCAAATTGATAGATAAGTTTGATTAGTCAGTTAAATTGTTTATTCAATAAGTGATCAAAACTATTAGCAATCAAAACAATGTGTTGATAACTCCATTAGCCATCACAGCAATGTGTCAGTTATTTGGTAGGTCATCAAAGCAATGTGTCAGTTATTTGGTAGGTCATCAAAGCAATGTGTCAGTTGCTCAATTTGTCATCAAAGAAATGTGTCAGTTACTCGTTTGGTCAGAACTGTGACGGTTACTCGATTGGTCATCAAAGCAATGTGTCAGTTACTCGATTGGTCATCAAAGCAATGTGTCAGTTACTCGATTGCTCATCAAAGCAATGTGTCAGTTACTCGTTTGGTCAAAACTGTGTCAGTTACTCGATTGGTAATCAAAACTGTGTCAGTTACTCAACTGGTCATCAAAGCAATGTGTCAGTTACTCGATTGGTAATCAAAACTGTGTCAGTTACTCAATTGGTCATCAAAGCAATGTGTCAGTTACTCGTTTGGTCAAAACTGTGTCAGTTACTCGATTGGTCATCAAAGCAATGTGTCAGTTACTCATTTGGTCAAAACTGTGTCAGTTACTCGATTGGTCATCAAAGAAATGTGTCAGTTACTCGATTGGTAATCAAAACTGTGTTAGTTGCTCGATTGGTCATCAAAGCTATGTGTCAGTTGCTCGATTGGTCATCAAAGCAATGTGTCAGTTGCTCGTTTTGTCATCAAAGCAATGTGTCAGTTGCTCGATTGGTCATCAAAGCAATGTGTCAGTTGCTCGTTTTGTCATCAAAGCAATGTGTCAGTTGCTCGATTGGTCATCAAAGCAATGTGTCAGTTGCTCGACTGGTCATCAAAGCAATGTGTAGGTTGTTCAGTCATCACAATAATGTGTTGATTACTTGATTAGCCACCAAATATTAATTACTTGATTAGCCATCAAAATAAGGTGTCATTTAC